TTGTGCCATGTAACTGGTGCTATTGTGAAGCTGTAGACAATTCTCCACTATCTGTGCTCCAGTTTAGTCTAAGCAGGCTACATTTTTGAATGCAAATGGTCAACCTACTCTTTATCAGTAACTGGCTGTCTGCTTTGTATAATAATGTAGAAACTTGGTGGTTTGGTGTGACCGAAGGTACTGTTTTTTTTTTTAACTACAGAATATTCAGTTTTCTCTGCTGCTAATACAGAGTTGACTTGATGAAGTAGGATGATCTTCTATTTAGTAGAAAAGCAGCATATTTCAGAGAGAGACAAACACCTCAGCTTCTCAACAGTCTGGGGTCTCCATTGATGTATATTTTGCTTCATAATGCACCACATGTTGGAGACAGGTCTGGACTGCAGGCAGGCCAGTTGAGCACCTGCGCTCTCTTACTATGAAACCATGCTGTTGCAGCTTGAGCAGAGTGTGGCTTGGCATTGCCTTGCCTGAAACAAGCAGGGATGTTCCAGAACAAGATGTTGTCTAGAGGGCAGCAAGTGTTGCTCCAAAATGTGCATGTACCCATCAGCATTAATGGTACTTTCACAGATGTGCAGGTTACCCCGTAACACACCCCTGTACCGTGATAGGCGCTGACTGTTGACCTTTTCATTGGTAACAATCAAGATGGTCCTTTTCCTCATTGGCCTGGATGACACCACATCCTTTATTTTCAAAAGCAATTTGAAAGGTGAACTCGTCAAACATACGTTTCAACTTGGCATCAGTCCATCTCAGATGAGCTTTAGCCCAGGTGGCATTTCTGGATTCTGGATGCATAGTAGAGTCTTAACTTGCATTTGTAGATGCAGCGACAAACTATGTTTGCTGACAAGGGTTTTCCGAAGTGTTCCTGTGCCCCTGTGGTTATATTCATAACAGAAGCACGTCGTTTTTTTAACGCAGTATCGTTTTTCGGCTTTGCCCTTTACGGACATTTCATTTAATTTCACAAAAAGGCAACTGAGCCTTTCATGAATGCTCTTTTTATATACAGTCATGATAGCTGCGCCTGTTATCTATTCACCTCTTCACCTGTAGAAAGTCCCCATACAGCTGTTTTGTCTTGTACCTCACATTGTACCTTTCTCAACTTTTTTGCAGTGTGTTGCAGGTATCAAATTTGGCATTAGTGTATATTTTGAAAAAATCAATAAAATTCATAAGTAGTATTAAATATTCCTTTTTTGTGCTGTTTTCAATAAAATACCTGTAAACATGTTTAACAAATCACTACTTTCTGATTTTATTTGCATTTTACCTACTGTCCCAACTTCTTTGCAACTGGGTTTGTACATTGATTGTTAATGTAATTCGTTGTATATGACTTTGTCAGATATTGTCAAAAAAAGAGACAAAAGCTTGTTTTAGTTCACTTAGTGAAATTTGGCTCACGTATTTTGCCTCACTGCACAGCTCTCAGTATTTCAGTCCGTGATTTAAGGACTATCAGCCAATCACATATTTAGACTGAAAATCGGCCAATTCCAATCTATACCTGATCCAACTTTCTATTACTAGTTGTATTGCTTGGCATTGATAACCTCCTGTTAACAAACTACATAGCTTGCCAGAACAATTTCTGTTTATTGCAATTACTAATACTAAACTGAATGCTTTAATAGACCTTGGTGTATTTTATCATATTGCAGTTTGTCTTAACTTTCTTAAATCATTGTAAATTTACCCTCGCCATTTTGTGGCTTACTGTTTTTACATACAACATATGTTCAAACCCCAAGTGCAAGTCAAGGGATATCTAAGGTAAAACTATTGTTTCTGCCATGATGGGCTGAATGTCATTGTTCCCTGGTGAGAAGGCCAGCTCTCCTGAGAGTCACCCTGCTATCCTCCTCAGTAGAGCATGCTCAGCAGGGACCGCCCTGCCCAGTGTCTGAGACAGACGCCGGCATCCTGGCACCTGCTGCGGCTCCCTGAGGGAGTGGGACTACCAACACAAACAGGTTGCATCATGCTCACAGCCAGGATTTAAAGAGATTTGTGAGCTTTTTTACTGTATTTGGACAACTTTCAACATCCAAACTGACACTGTGAGCAAATATCGAGTCTGTACACTGTACTCGATAATGTCAACATTGTAAAGGGTCGTCAGCACATGGTGGCTGTGTAGCAGTGCTGTGTTGATGCTCAGTAACAACACACTGTTTGGTTACAATTGTGTGGATTGTTCAAACTTATGGGTGACTCCCTTGTACAGATGCTTGCTTTTATACTGTTTCTGCTTTCTGGCAAACACTTTAAAGGAATAGTTTGGAGAAAAATCACAATTTTCTCATGTTTGGGTGGTCAAGTGCTAGAGGGCTAGATGGAGCGTTTGTGCAAAAACATAAATTGTGAATGGTTAAACCTTTTATCTAGAAAAATGTGCTTGTTTTCTCACCATGGATTTAATTCAGGCTTTCGAATGACTTCTACTACTTATCTGTTTCATTTCTAAAGGAAACTTCATCTCTTCTATACAGCCAGACTCCCTATGGTGGCTGCAGTAGAGCTTTGTATGCTGTTTAGCCTTTGCCTTACAAAGACATACAATCAGTGTTTATGTACTGCAAGTCTAGGAAAATGTCCAAGGCTACCAGTGATTAGGACAGTCTGTTAGCATTTATATCCTAAATTATCAATAACGTCAGTGCTTAATATTTCAGTGCACTTCAGCATGTTGTCATGACAACATCTTGGATCTCCCAAATGGTAACTTTATAGGAGAAGAAAAGTGTAGCAAAGAACTGTTGTTATTGTGCATTTGTCATGAAATGAAAAATAAAACAAATAGATAAAAATGTGGTTTCAAGGTTTTGTTATGACAGTGTGTTTGATCCATAGACACAAGCCTTTCCTTTGATTCTTGCACAGAACAACAATGTTGGTTGTTTTGGGTATACAGGAGATACTGGAGAAAACTGCTCAATAAAGATGCTGTGTGGTTTTTGCTTCGTCCTCCTGCTGTTCAGGGTGTTGCTGCTGATTGCTTGGCCAGTGCTGACTGATGCATTGCAGTTCTGTGCAGCATTCTATGAGAGTTCTGCTGCTAGTACCAAAAGTGCTGCACATTAACATGAACATGCTGACTCTGATATTGTTCTAGAATTTATGAATTGCATTGTCATTGCTTTTGTATATATTAATGCTATTCTGTCTGTTTGAATGCAGCAGATTTAGCAAGCTGTGCTAAAATGCTATTATAAGTGTTATTGTAAAACAGTAAACTAGTATATAATGTTAGTGTATTATTCATATTATAATGACTATTTAATTATGACAGTATGCCAGAACAAAAAGGCACCGTCTGCTTGTATCTGACAAACCAGAGACTTCCTGAGTACTTAGTATAGTCTAATGTACCCATAGGGAAAGAATGCAGTGGTGCTAATTTAGTGGTTTTGGAGCACAATATAATATTTTTCCTCTGAGGCTGTTGTGGTTTGTAACAGAGGTGGTGCCTGTATTTTTTTAATCTGTTATGCCCATTGTTGACATTGGGGTTAAAGTTCAGCAGGGGTTGTGTCTGTGGTGTTAGTCTCAATTTGCAGATGGTTCTACCCTGCCCCACCACCTGGATTTAGCCTGTACCTTTTCAGCAGCACAGCGGCTGCAGTTGGACTGTGTGTGGGTCAGTGAGAGATATTTGGCGACTAAGCTTTCCAAATGCCCCAATGAATATTGTTGGAATAGATTTCTGTGGCTTTGTCTCAGGAAGCAGGGTCTTTACAGTTTTAGGGGCATCTAACTTACTGTAGAGTGCAGCTTCAAGATGAGCTATTAGCTCTACATTCAACTGTATTTAGCTGCATTAAAAAAGAAGAAAATTGGTATTTAGTGGCACTATGTTAATGTATAAATTAGCCCAGATCAACAAACATGCTTGTGACAGAGGTCCTGATCAGTTGTGACATCTAGCTGCAGCCACATGGACTAAATTGCAGACTAAGCACAGCCTTAGCTTTGACAGAAAAAGCCTTTTTGGGCAAAAGTTAGCCAGTGAGCTAGGTAAGTTAGATAGCTAGCTGAAGTGTTGGCAACAGAGACTTTATAGTGAGGAGAACCTCCTGCTTGGTCAGGTGCTTGAAGGCTCTCCCTAGAGAGTGTAAAAAGAATGGGTTCCTATGCTTTTGTGCAAAATCATAATTTATAGATAGGTAATCCTTTTTATGCAGACAGATATGCTTGCTTTCTCACACAGAATGACATTTCAACACTGCGGTCATATTTGTGGATGCTTTTTCACTCCAGTTATAGGACCTTCTAATGATGCTGAAACACCTAAACAGCTTGCCAGTCAGTCAGCACTCAGTACTAGTAATGCATCAACTGACCAAAACCTTTTTATGCTGCTGAAAAATGGAAAGATATTGAGGAATTTTGGTTGATTTTTGTAGTGTCATATATCCTATTTTCCAAAAATAAAGAAAGTTTCTGTGTGAATGGCAAAAAAGCATAGATATTTTTTGTTTTTCAGCCGTTCAGCCATTCATTGAAGACTTACTTGCAGGTGCCCTCTAACATATTTCAGCCATGTTTTTGGTATAATGAAGAGATAGGATGTGGCCAGGTTCTCCATGACCTGGCCCTGACTGGCAGCATTAACATGAACATTTGAAAATACATGGTGGTTGGCTTCATGTGACATGAAGGAAGCATATACTAGACATTAGCTAATGTAGTTGGGGAAGCCAACCACATCTTCTACCACTAATCTTAACCCTTCTATTTTTAAGGGCAATTTACGTCCACCACTCCTGGTGCTACATATCGTTACACTCTGTTGTTGCAGCTGAATACTACTCAGTTGGTTTGCAGTGGAGCATAAAGTGTATATTCATATGAAACTAATGAAAAACTTGAAATACAGGTTTGGTATAGATGTGGAGCATTAACAATCAGAATTAGTGATTTCTGTTGCTGCATCCTTACTAATAATGCCGCTTGTTTTTTTCTCTTTCTCTGTTTTCCAGTCGGACAGCAACACCAGTTTCCTGCGGGCTGCGAGAGCGGGGAACATTGACAAGGTTCTGGAGTATCTGAAGGGCGGTGTTGACATTGCCACCTGCAATCAGGTTAGATTTACTCTGTCACCCAGATACATTTAGAACCTGACTAGATTGAATCGATGTTGAGTGTACCTTGAGCGGCACATTTGATGTCACATGTTTAACACTGAGCTCCAGGGCATTAGTGGATGTTCTCCTACCCAGCATGAATCCCTTGCTTTAGTTCAATAACTAATTTTGCCTGTGGGATTGTTGAGCCCTCATCAGTCCATGTCAGTCCATCTGTAATGACACGTGTGACCTTCTCTTTAAAGAGTGAACAAGAAGCCTCATTCTAAATGGCCACTTGGTCCTGATCTAATCAATAACCAGACGAGCCATATTTTAGTGTTTTAGGTGCTTTCTGTTTAACTGTTGCTCTAGTAGGAAATCATTTTTAAGGGGTAATCTTTGCTACTGATTGAGATTGAGGGGCTTTTTACTCAGATGGGAGTTTAAGAATAAAATATTAATGTAATTAGAAAAAAATGAATACAAATACTACTTTTAACTATGGATAAGTACATTTACAGGGAGGAGTGAAGTGGTATGGGAAGTGATTTATTAGTATAATAGTGCCCCTGCTTTTGTATTTAAGCAGCAAAAATGTTGACTATGGGAGGTATTTTTTCTCTTTACTCATGCTTATTTCTGACATTGCTCTAGCAGTATGTAAAAAAGGTCTTCTTGTCAGAATCCAATTCCTTACCGTGCCCAATGATGGATGATGCAAAGCCCCCAGAAAAATGTGATCGGTATCTCATTTGCATTGTAAACAATTGAGCAGGTGGGTTGCTTGGCAGCTGGCAACAGCACACAGTAACAGTTTGTGGTCCCAAATCTCACTCCATCCCGATGGTTCTTTTTGCTCACTTTACAGAAAGCTGCTTTAAAATGAAAAGAAATTGGCCTGGGTTTTCAGACATTCCCATGCATAGACATGGTGCTTAGATATTGTTTGAGCTTTGCACCTGAGCAAATCGAATTAAATGTAATGGTATGGTAAGTGACGTCCCATGTCTCTGTAAATTTGCTCGTGAAAAAAAGCCTAATTTTATCATTGCTTTGGTCAAAAAAACAATGCTTACTGATCTGAACTGCACTCTTAATGAGCTTGTACTCTTACTTGGAAAAAAAATCACAATGCATTCAACAATAAAGGAAGCCATGTACATCCTTTATACAGGGATAGAAAACACAGTAACACACAGAAAACTTTGATTCTACGGGCTGATACATTTTACTCTGGCCAGTGTGGACGAACACATGCCATAACTCCTTTAGATTTAAACAAGCTTAAGGGGCCATCGCCAAATTCTTAGAAAGAATCACTGGCAAGATGCTTCAATAAGGTTACCAGTCACGATAATTCTCTTGTAATTTGATGTGAAAACAAAAATTCAGTTCAGTTCTATGTTGTGTGAACAAGACAAGCTTTGCAAACTAAATACATAAAAATATATACATCCAAAAAAATATGATTTGTTAAAATCTACAAGTGTCAAACACTGGCAAACTTACTTATTACGTCTTAGCGTGAATCTTGAAAAATATCTCTCCGACTGCTGTGGAAATTCAGGAACGTGATGTTGTGGAAATATGAAAAATAGCCAAAAGGACTTGGACATGTTTGACTATATAAAAAAAATCAATGTTACCTTTTACCCCGTGTTAGGTTGTGCCTTGCTGTAGGTTCCAGGCAGTGAGAATTTAGTTGTTTTTTCTACATTATCTGTTATTACACCTCTATTAGCATAGCAGAGCAGGGGTGTGTGAAAGCAGATAGTGTGTAAATAGCTGCTCCATAGTAACAAAGTGTATATGCGTTCTGGTAAACACCAGTCACATGCAGCATTTTGGCTGGGGTGTCGAGTTTCCTCTCCATGACTGTCCACGAGCAAGGAACAGAGTCATGTCATTGATGTTTATAAAGGAACACTGTCTAAATGGCAAAGAGGACACATTTTTGTAAAAAAAGACATGCAAGTTGTTTGTTTTAACCTGTATATCTTCCAGAGTTATTGGTGCTTCCATGTCTCATTATTTTTTACTATGTGGGTGGTGTCCTCATCTTGTCCAGGCATTTGAAACACTAGAATCATGACCTTTATGGGGAGATAATTCAGTCTCTAGTGAATGACCCTTGTGCTGCAGCACAGAAGTGAACATTTGTGCAGGAGAAAAACAATATTATTAAAAAAGAGTTCAGTTCTGAACACAAAGACTAAGCTTCACAGGAGGAGGGAGCACTTTACCAGAGCTGTTGTTGCTAACAGTGAATGAAAGTGGATAGTTACCAGTTAGTATTATAGAAATAATACCATGCTAAGCGGTTGCTACTAGTGTTCATATTTAGCCATGTTAGCATTGGACAAATGTGCCGATATGTGCTGATATTGCAGTTTCACCAGATACTGTTTTTCTCTGGTTTCATAAGATCCCGCTACACTGTCATTCTGTTATTGGTTTGAGGACCTTCACAGCTCACGATAACAGAGTGCTAAAGTGTGCTTGCTAGAGGGTCTGCTGCTGTTAAGACTGTGTACCACTTCTTTAAAAGGTTTTTGTGCTGTTGATTTCTGTTAGCTCACAAGCAGCAGTTACCCTGTTCACTATAATATGTTAATATCACATGCAGGCCCTTTTTACTTCTTCATTTAACCGAATATCTGTTCATTATCTCTTATGGATAGCTGAAAAGTAGTCAGAATGCACATTCCCATTGGGAATACTTTGATCTATATATATATTGTACTTATGATTTAGGACTCAATTCTGGTGACCATGAACACACTCTCCTCGAACTAAAGCTCTGCAAATCAGTCAGCTTTGACAGTCAGGGTGATCTATCAATACTTAGGTGTGCATCTGGTTTCTCTGGTCATAACTCAGTTCAGATGAGATGCAGGCCACTAACTCTGGTTGTTTGGGTGTTGAGTAGCATGCTCAGACTGACCCCATTATAAACATAGGACACCATTAAATACTGTCACTAGAACTCCCTTGAAGCAAGCTCGCTGCTTAGTAATATTTCATTGAGGACAGCAGTCATTCCTTACAACATTATCATGAATGTTACTCATTTCACACAAGATTTCCCTTGATAAAATTTCTATCAATTTCAAAACAGAAAAATGGTATCTTGTTGCCTCATGTTGTTTCATAATGATGCCGGTTGTCTGATTCTGTTAAGATCCATTATCTTTCTTTGATTTGTTGGTGTCAAAAGAGACTTTCGGCAACTGTTTCATTACCCAGACAATTACATTTCTTGTGTCTCTGTTGTCTAAATAAACAGGCACCTAAGAACACTGTGATAAATCAAATCTCTACAATTATGCCCATGTAATAAGCATTTAAGGGAATAAGGTAATCACATTGAGGACTTTCAGCAGGAGCTTTTAGACTGTGTAATTATGCTGGTGCTGGTGGGTGAATGTAGGACAGAACAGGGGTGTAGGGAGTGATGGATTGGGTGCTTCTGAATGCACCCAGCTTGGTGTGGGTAATATGATATGCTGTCATTATCATGATAAATTCTGTCCTGATGTGCTTTTTTGAGAATATTAGTATTGTCAACTGCATGCACAAAAAAGACAGGTTTAGACCAGTTATAGCAAGCCTGTAAACATCAACCCATGTAACTACATAGTAACTACATACTAGTAACGGCATGTAAATGCACAGAAAGAAGCAGCTGATTGAATGTCAGGTCATTATTTTTTGTTTTGGAAATGTCTCACTACCCGTTGTTAACTTTTTAATGCTGTTCCTTCTTAAATAGTTTATTTTTGCAAACAGTGAGTGGAATATTCAGTTGTATGCAAACGTTTGGGTGCCCCAGGTCAAATGTTGGTTATGTTTTGTTGATTTTCTAAATGAAAATTCTTCTCTTCTACAGAGAACTCATTAAAAAGCACAATTACTGCTTATTTGCTGAATTTAACATGTTGGGGAAAAAACAGCCTGTGCATTTAATGTTTTATGTTTTTTTCTTCTTCAATGTTAAAGTAAAGCGAGAGAAGGAAGTAAATATAAATTGTGCAGTAAATGTAATTTGCCCAGGGATATTCAAAGTTTTACGTATGACTCTATAATTGCAATTTCTTTTTTTTTTAAATAGTGTTTTTCAGATGTGTAAAATGCTGGTGCATTTTGACAATTCCAGACCTCAAAACAATGAAATATTGAGATACATATTGTGCATCATAATGTCTTCAAGTGTTGTGATGATATATTTCGCCATATTGTCCATTCCTATGTTCTGCTACTGTGTAGCAGAGACCCTCATAAATGTCGAGCAAAGCTCACCTGCAGTGCAGTGTGTATTACTCTCAGAGGACAGCCGCTGATTGAGAACATCCATTTTCTTAGTGGCAGTGGCAGTGGCTTACATGTAGGGCAGTGTCCTCTAGAGTTCTGTGACCACACAGGAAATTACATACTGACTGATTGTTTAATTAATGGACACCAATGTATGTAACATGGCATACACTGAACCACTTAGAGCAGGGGGTCTTGTGGACATGCGAATAAAAAAATATATTATAAACGCACCTCTGAACTTGCACAGTTTTATTGTAGGATTTTTATTCACCTTTTCTGTATGTGGATTTCTAAACATTTCGTGCAGATTACACTTCTAAAATGGCTCCTCTCTACGACCCCAGTTTTGGTGGTGGTGGATTGGCAGAAACTGGCAGGAACTGGCGTAAACTGATGAATGTTGAGATGCTTAATCCCTCTTGGTAATCTGCGTTGAGTGACGTTGGAAAATAATCTTCATATCTCTGTGAAGCTTTTACATGTAGAGTCTATTTTTTGCAGCAACATGGGGGAAAAACATCAATCTTCTTATTAGATTTAGATTAGCAGCTTCGCTAATCTAATGTGCAGACTTCCTGGGACATTCTGCTGGTCTACCCATTTATTCACTGTTGGCGTTTTGTTTTTATTACGTTATCTTTAGATTTTGCTTTACATACTGTTTAACGTGATGGGCTTTGTGTGACCAAGCATGGAAATAGCTGTATTCATTTCATGGAAACGCAGTTCAAGTTTACATTTATTGGCATACAAAATACCTCCTATCACCTTGTAGTGAAATTCAGGAAGCTGACTTTGCTAAAAACTAAAATTCAGTGTATAATATTACAATAAATGAAATACACCCAATAGAAAATACATAAAATACAATCTAACTAAAATGTTTAGGTATTTGGACATTTCAACCATAAACTTTAAGGCAGTTCTTTAGGTTACTTCATAAAATATTTAACCCAATGATATTTGGTTTAGAGACAAACACTTTTAGCACAACATCAAATTGATGGTAGAGTCTTCATGTGGAGAAGAATTGCAGTCAGACAGAACTAAGGGTTCTGTAAAGCATAGAGGTGGATACATCAAAGTCTGGAGCTGTTTGTCCTACATTGGTGTCGTTATGCTTGTGTTCAGTGATACAATCATGAACTCAGAAACGTATATAGACGTTTTGGATGCAAACCTGCAGAAATCTGCAAAGAAACTGCTCAAACCATAATCTGTAACACACTAGCCATCTTTTGAAATAATAAAAAAGTGGTGGAATGGTTTAAAATAAATGCCACTTGGTTGGACATTTTGTTTGTAAGAAAGTGAACCTTTTTGAACATTTTTAAGCATAAATAACCCAAATACTGTTTGTGGCCACTGTGTAAACAATCACTTGATCATTATTGATCATACAGCTAACATAATCAGTAATTTCTAAAAATATTTTGCGCAGCATACAGTAGACTTAGCAACATCTATATGGTCAGCAAAGGGCGAAAATAGGTTGACTGCAGATGCTTCTTCTTTTTGCCTTTATGATCAGGAGGAATTTTACTGGTTTAGGGTTTCATTTTTTTCTGGTTTGATTCTCACAATTATAGCCATATGTCTTAGAACAGAAATCTTCAAATCCAGATCTTGAATCCAGTTCACAATACTGCATTTTGTAATCACTGGTAGTTAAGTGAACCTTTGATGTGACTGATTGGCCACCTAGGCTGTAACCAAAATAGATCTGCATTTTAGGACACTATCAAGTACACTGTGAATTTTTGTGTCTTAGTGTTGAAATTCTAGTGTGATCTGGGGGGCACTACAACCTTCCACAATGCACTTATAATCAGCTGAGTGTATGCCTGTCTGTTGTTACTAAGCAATAGAGAGGATTGTTATATGAATGGTGGCAGACTATCGAACTCTATTGACACTCTAGTAAAAAAAAGCAGCTCTGTGCAGTTAAAAACAAAGACATTAACATGTTTATTGCCTGCTGTTCGCTATACAGCAAAAAACACTGGAAACTTTAGATTAAATTAAGAATGAAATGGTCTCCTGCACTTTTTCAAACTTTTTCAAACATCTACTGCTATGAATAAGAAGCCAGCTTTAACTTTTTGTTGGTTCATTTATATGACTGGTGAATACTGTTGCAGGTTGATGAGAAATTAATTTACTGATTCATGCATTTTACTGCTATTAAAAAACGACATAGTTCACCCCTATATAGCACAATTCTAATGAGGGAGTAGGGATCCGTTTTGGTCCCAGTCCTTGTGTCATACCTGGCATTAATTACAAAATATAGTACCAGAAAGCTGAGTTCCAGGTCGTGATTTGAAGACCTCTCAACCTTTTAATGAATTATTATTTAAAGAACCATTTGTACAAGGATTACAAGGAGCTATTACTGCATACATGTATATGAATAATAAATTAGTGTTTTTGCTGGAGTCGGAATGAAATTTTCACTATTTTTAAATGTGATTTTAAACCTCTTTTCTTTAGAGATACTCTTCAGTGTTGAGTTGGGTGGCTGCCAACTGCCAGGATACATCTCGACTCTGCCAGTTTTATTAATATCTCTCCCTAACGAACCCTTCACAATCCACTGGCACGTCTCCACGCTGTGGTGACACAGCATAAATGCAGACCGTCAACGTTTGATATTTAACTCTCTCTCATGTGCATTACAGTCTCCCAGTCATGATACACATTGAGAATGGACGAGGAGGTACACCAGCGCCTCGCTGTCCTCTTCTGTCTCCCATCTGTTTTAGCTTTTTCTCTCTTTTTCTATCCTGGTTTTGGGTTAACTCTTGGTTCTTCTGCATCTTTATAGAATGGACTCAATGCTCTGCACCTGGCAGCCAAAGAAGGACATGTGGATATGGTCCAGGAGCTGCTGGAGAGGGGGTCTTCTGTGGACGCTGCAACCAAGGTGGGGTCTTCTTGGGCAAAACTGTTTGAATTAAGTGTAAAGTTCAGAGTCGCAATGTTGAGAAAAAATTGACAATATGAGTTAGGTCATATAGGACTGCAGAAAAATCAGAGACCACCTTTCATTTATTTAATTTATAGTCAAAATTATCATTAAGCACAAGTTATCTGTTTTTCAGCGTCAGGAAAAAAGCAGAAAACATATTTACCAGAAAATTATGCAGAATCAACAACTAATTATGATATCAATTTTTCATATTCAGAGTGTGCACACTTTGCATGCAGCTTTCATTATTTTCATGAGACTTGCTTTCAGTTTCTCAAAAAAATCTACAGGGATATTTTTCCACTCTTCCAAAGTTCAGTCTTAGAAGTTGGTTGCATTTTCTGCTTCTCACAAAATACATCCCCAAACATGTTCAAAGACAAAAGCTTTAAGTGCTGTTTATCATATAGCATAACTCACATTTTACAGTTAGGTAAACAATATAGAATTTGTTTTTTACTCAGTTTCCTTGCTGACACACCAGGTATTTTCTCCTTTTGGGCTCAAAGTTGTTATTATTGGCTTTTAAAATGGTGGGGTTCAGATTCATAACCTAGTGATTTTGGGGCAAATGCTTAGACACCACCAGAAATAGACAACAAATGTAAGTTGGGTTTTTATAGTCAAATGTTAAATTTAAAGTTTAAAATTTATTTTTTTTTTACAGTGTAAACATTTATGGACACAGAAATCTTCAGGGTACTCTGATGTAACTTCAGAGTAATTCTCAAGTGGTGTAATTGTCTAAGGTATTCATCCCAACAGCTGGAGGTCATGAGTTTTAACCCCAGTGATGCCACAGCTGCCCATAAATGGGAGCCTAAAAAAGGGGAGATGTATCTAGTGGAAAATCTAGTGTCCTCAAGTTAAGACAAGGAAGCTGAGTAATCAGTAAGCTTATCATTTTAAGTTGTAATGACCTTTCATTTTTTACAGCGTAGTTTGAGATGTAAAAGTGTGCCAGTGGAGTGAAATGGACCTGATATTGGTGTGCAGCCATAACTACCCCATTTCCAGCACACATGCAGTGGTGAAATTTTGCTATCAGATGTTATCAGATGAGGTTTTGTTATTAGGTTTGGATTGTAATACAGCATATATTTCAAATTACTGTAAAGTAAGGTACGAAATAGGCAAATTAATGGTCATATTATGAGTCTATATATTCTCTTAAAAATAGTCCCTGTATATTTATTACAGCTAGATTTTGAAAACAATGTTTTTCGTTGTAAAGATAGAAGTAAATTTGCTTTTTCTTAGACAGTAACATTTATTACAAATTAAATGTTATAAATATAAATATTAAAGTAAAGCATTATGTACCAAAATGAGCACATTTATGAAAAAAAGAATTGTACATTTCCCAGAAATACTCTAGGTTTAGTGGGTTTTCTAAAAAGGACTTAAGACTGCTGCTCACATGCTTTTTATGTTGTTCTAGCCAAGTGTAACCTTTTCCATGTAATAAATGTAGGTCACCACCCCTAAACCTAATACTCATGTCACATGACCACTCATCCATCACTGCTGTAGAATGTAGGGGCTGGACAGGCTGGTTGGTTGGTCATTGAGAAATGATCTCTAGCACGGAGCTTTACACCCCTCATGCTTGCTAGGCTTTAGAGGAGGGCTGTCGCTATCATTGTAATTAGTATTCAAGTGATCTCCTGATTGTTTTGATAATTCATTGAGGAATCTGAACTTTTAGAAAAAGCCCAAATAATAAGAATGGACTTCGAACAATTCAGCAATAATAAACTATGCAAAGCATGTCTAAAGCTAAGCCTACTTTACACGACTTTTAAAATCATAACACATTTAACATAATTTTTAACAGAATTTCTGTTGTTTTCTTGTGTGGACATGCACAAGGCAAAAAGGGCACATAAGGAGTTTTGGCAGTGAAAAGCACTCAAAATCCCAGATCTCCCCCCTGTTATCAGTGATACAGGCAAAGCTAAACTGCACTGGATCTACTTCAGCTTTTATGCTCGCAAACAGGGGATGAATATGAGGTTGGAATGCAGATATTATAATTGGAGCTGCAGAAATATTTTATTACGAACTGCCTGCTGGCTTGACATTGTAAAGAGAGATTATTTACTCTGAACACAACAAGCAGCTCCTCTGTCTCTGTAGCCTTCTGCTTACGCAGGAGAGTGCACGTATGTGCCTTTTCAACATTTTTCTCTCTTCTAGCATTTGTGCCGTCAGTTGCTTCTAATCAAAGTCCCAACCTGGAAAATCGCTTAGGATTGTGAATTTTTGTCAGAAAGAGCAAATCAGGATTAAAACCGGGCTAAGCATTGTGTAGTATAAGCCCAGCTTAAGAGTCCACAGTATATTTACTGGGAAAAGACAAACTAGGCTTTTAAAAAGACTTAGTTTACAATAGTGGCAAAATGTATATAATTAGGTGTTCAACAGGTTCTGTTTTATCTGCAAGAGAAATGTACATTATTGTCATGAAAGTTGCTTGCTAATCAGGGTTGATTCATAGAGAAGATAAACTTGAACTGGTGTGTTTTTTATCAGGTAATCGTGTGTTGTTGAGTGATTGTCACAGCGCTACTTAAAAGGAAACTATTAATTTTTCAACATTTCTATAAAAACTCAGTTGTTAAGATGTAAACAAAGTCATTCAGAGTGGTTTGATGGGAAATGCTCTGTTCTAGAGAAACTTACAGAGTCAGAACTGTTCACGGTGGTGGTGACAGGAACCAGACGTCTGAAGAATTTACTGTCTCTCTCACAGAAAGCAATTACATGAACAGGTTATAAATACTCTGCGTTCTACCTGAGATATTGTTTTACAATAGTTTTGAGGGAAAGTTTTGGCCTAAGATATGTATATCTTAAATCCAATCATGGTGGAAAGGTACATGCAGGGTGTTGTAAGATAAATTAATCCTTTTGGAAAACTTATTTTTTCTGATTTATCGCTATTTTACCATCATTAACTTTATGTATAAAAAAATTGAAGACACTTATAGGTTCCCTGGTGGTTTTGGATAGTAAATAAAATGGCTATATTTGCAGTGTAGACATCACAAGCCCTGGTTTCTGTCACTAACAATATAAATCTGAGTCTGTAAGTTTCGTTCACATCAAATCAATATGAATGAACTTGAATCTACCAAAAATTAGTAGAATCAGCCTCATTATGTATTATACGTACTTTAAGTAAAGATACAGTTTTAAAAACAAAGGATGTTTAAAGGTGCGTTCTGACGTTGCCCGCTATGTCTCGTGCTTAAAAGGTAGGTGGTGAGGGTGAGTTAACACATTTTATCGACAAGTACGTAAACATGAGACAGTGTTTTGTGGGAATGCAAAAGACTGAAATAAAAACATCTCCATCCCCTTTTTGTATATGTAATTTGTAAACACCAGCCGCCTTTCATTACAGGTTAAGAATGTTTTTTCCTAGTCCTGTAAAGTTACCATGTTAGAGAAGCGAGGTTTTGTTCTGACAATGGCGCTAATTAATACTAAATAAAAACAGTTTTTCTTCTGGAGATTGTGTTAGTCTTTGTGTCAAGTGTTGTACAGCACTGAGTCTTTGAATACTGCCAAAACTAGCTTTCTTCTTTATGTTGGATTTGTGACTAAAGGCACATCCTAGATATTGAGTGGTCAGCTGTAGATGTGGGTAGCCAGCAGAAAAGTTGACAGTGTTTCAAATTGGACGTGTTTAAAAACGCAAAGCGCATTGTGCAGGCCAGAGGAGAACTTTTCAGTTACAGTACGCCTTGCTTCGACAATGAAAGGAAACACGTCTGAGAGAGACTGAATGTCATTTGAACGCCCCCTTAAAGGATTGTTTAGACCAGTGCTATAGAAGAACCCATTTTGGTTCCTGAAGAATCTTTCAATGTATGTCTTTTTAAAAAATCATGTTTATAAGGTGTGAATAAGCTTTTTGAAGTTGAAGGAACCTCCACAGGTTGTGCATTTCTAGCAAAAAAGGGGTTCTTCTGTGGCATTACTCAGAGGAACCCTGTAAGTGCCTTTTTTGCCACATAGTCCTGCACATAAACCACAACCATTGTTTGTGGCAACCATCAACCGCAAATTTGCTAGTCTCATTAAAACTGCATCTCACACACACGCGCACACACACACACACACACACACACACACACGTACACGCACACACATTTAATTAAAGCTGTAATTGGATAATCCAGCCTCCCTAAACAATAATTCATCGCCATTCCTCCTTGCCTTTGGTTTTGATTATTATGAGACTGTCTAATGACGCTCCTCTTCCCCACACTTATCATTAGCGCGCCCTATCTGTGGGTACCTGCTGATATGCCTGCTTCTGGAACAATCAGCTTTAAATTACTGATACTTCATGTTCATTATTAGAGCAAGAGGCTGGGTCGCAGGGTTTATTATTATCATGCAATGATGAAATGCTGTTCACTGGTCATTTGGCCTCATTTACTAAAGTTCTTAAGAATAAATTTCTTCTTAAAACCCATTTACGCAGTTTTCTGACATTCACCAATGTTTTCTTATTTGGGATTTGTTCTTAGGTTAGAACAGAATCTACACACACTCAGTAGCACAAAGGTGTGAACAATTCTGCAGTTTAAAAACACGCCATAAATCTGACATAGACTTTTTCTTAGGACCTTCCTCAAACAAATTTAAGAAAAAACTTACAAAGATATTGGTGAATGAGGCCCAAAGTCTTTTTGCTGTTTGTAGTGCCATTTCTAAATATGTGAATTAACCACAAAACAACCACACAGTTTTGCATATCGCTGCAGTCATAACAAAACTTAGTGTCTCCAGAATGGTAACATTTTAGAAGGAAAGAACATTCTTAAAGTTTATTGTACACTACCAGACAAAGGTGTGGACACTCATGAAGTCATTGAACTATAAAAAAGTTCGGGGATTTTATGTTTTATCATGACTGTAAAATATGACACTTTTTTTATATTTGTAGTTTGGTTCTCTTGGTCCAGACCAAAGAGGAAAAGGATACATTGTTCCATTTTAGTTCTGGATAACAGAACGATGTAAACAAAGAAATTCATATGGGTAAAAACCTGACTGGGGAGTTTAGATGTATATGATGGCTCGTTTAGGTGTCTTTGGTCAGTGTTGCATTCATATTTAAAGCGAACCTTTCAGTAGTGTAAGTTAATGTAAGAACATTTTATTTGAAATAAATCTAGGCCATTTCTGTTGGTCCATTCAGCATGAAATGCTCACAGTATGTTTTCAAATGGTGCAGAAAATGGAGTTGCAAGGTTTTGATATGACAGCAATATGTTTTCTTCAAATTCAGCAACTCAATATTTCATGTTTTCATAGCAGTTTTGTGTCTAGCAGCATAAATGGGAATGTACATGTTAGCTGTTCAGAAATGACAGAATTAGGACCTTGAGGTGCTTTTCATCTGCTATGATTAAGCAGCTAATAAAGTAGAATGATAGAGCTCAGCATAAGGCGGAGTGCAACTAAAAGCAGTGCAATATATTCAGATTTTGATTATTGTAAGACGTGTTTGTTTATTTCTGTTGATGGGACATTTGTGATAATACTGAAATTTGTGATAATACTGAGTTTGATTGTCTACTATAGCATGACAACTGATACTATTTAATTCAAAATTTAATTCACTGCATCACAATTTTAAACGTTTCTCTGGCATGTCTTAACTTTAAAACTTTTTAGCGATTGATTAATGTGTATTTGACCCACAGAAAGGAAACACAGCTCTCCACATCGCCTCCCTAGCAGGTCAAGGTGACGTGGTTAAGATCCTGGTCAAAACTGGAGCGGATATCAATGCACAGTCACAAGTGAGTAAGATGTCATACATGCCCAGTTTATTAGCATCTTTTTGATGTTTGCTCTCACCATTTATTGACATTTTATTCAATTTTGCTGCAATTAACTTGTGTTGAATTGTGTTTTGTTACAGAATGGGTTCACTCCTTTATACATGGCTGCCCAAGAGAACCATCTGGATGTGGTACGCTATCTACTGGAGAATGGAGGAAACCAGAGTACAGCAACAGAGGTAAGAGTCAAGAAGAAAGAGGTTACTCAGAGTAAAAATGTGTAATGCGCATCACATGCTGTGCCAGAGTTCTTTTGTACAAATAATTTGTAAGAAAACAGAAAGTTAAGTAACAAAAATTAAGAAATGTTAGATGTGTCCAGAAAGATAAACAGAACTGTAGATTTTAAAATGTGTGAGAAAACTATTTAGCAGCAAGAATACTGAAAAAATAAAATTAATATTCAAAACGGGTCATCATAACTCAAGACAGATAACTTGACATTACTGTACATTACATTTAACCTCTAATAATTTCTGGTTTCCAAAATACTTGACAAATTTACACTACATTTAATGCAGTCAGCAGCGTTTTACAATATATTCAATCCAATGCAAATGCATTAGGAGTCTTGCCCAAGGAGTCTTATACACTGTATAAGTTATTATTGTATATAAAATGTCAAAAACTGTTCATATGACATATTTAAACCATAACAGTAGTGCATGTTAAAACATAGACGTCAGCAAATAACACCTTGATTTGTCTCTGCTTGTAGGATGGCTTCACTCCTTTGGCCATTGCTCTGCAGCAAGGCCATAATCAGGTGGTGTCCATCCTTCTAGAGAATGACACCAAGGGCAAAGTGCGGCTGCCTGCCCTGCACATTGCTGCCCGCAAGGACGATACCAAGTCGGCTGCTCTGCTGCTGCAGAATGACCATAATGCAGACGTCCAGTCCAAGGTACATGCGAGGGAAAGGGGGAAAAGGGGAAAGAATGGGGCTTAGCCAGTATGGGCAAAAACTTGTTTTGGTGGATGTTGGGAAAGTGATATGGAAAGCATGGGCGCCTGATTTTATGTGGAAGTGGAGGAGCAAAGTTGGAGAGGGACTGGGGCATTGACAAAGTTGAGGGTGGGTGGTGGCTGAAGTCCCAGGGGAATGAGCTTATATTTAGGCTTAAACTTAGATGTATAAATAATTCTAAAAAAAATACTAGCACAAGCTAATAAATACAGGCTAGCCAGCTCATGTAAGCTAAAAATGACACTGCATTTATCTAGCTAGCTAACTGTTTGCTGCCAACTGCAAGATACTGAAATCCTGAAATACTGAAATACTGAAGCCATGTTTCTATTTGTCTCTGTATTTTGGGTGCTGTGTTTATCTTGAATCTACCCTTCAGTGTTGTGATGTTATAGATTCTTGATGGCTTGCTTGTGCAGTGTGTATGAATCAAATCTCACAGCAAAGAGCTTCTTCACTGCTCTCGTTGTCTATTGTTAGTTTTGTTTTAGGGTAGGTTGATGAAATTACATAAAGCGTATCATTTTGTTTGTTTATGTTTACTCACCCCATAATACAATGTGAGGTGTGAGTGCTCCACTTACTCCATTGTTCAGGCGCCTATGAAGGGAGGAATACAAATATGCATGTTTGGAAATGATTTTATATTAACCCTCTAACCAACTGTCAGGTGCTTCCACAGCATCTTGTCCTTTTGTCCTTTAAACCTGTCATGTGGTTTTTGATGGGAGTGATCAAGTGCTACAGTGTTTTCATCACCTTCCATTGTGAATTCTACCTCTGATCTTGTATTGCTCGTTCGAGCTTGTCTCTCTCTTTGTCTCTCTTCTCCAGTCTGAGTGTGCCTGTGTCCTGTGTCTCCATCCTGATGCTATACGGGTTTCTGTCTTTTCTCTATCAATCCATGCTTCTGTTGTACCTTTTGTGCCTTACTTGTGTTTGAACCCTTTGCTGTTGAGTAACTGGACATCAGTATGTGTGCTCAGCATGGATCCTTTGCATAGGCTGTATGAAATTCAACCTTTTGTAGCAAAGTATGTGGGTGTGTGTGTGTGTGTGTGTGTGTGGAAGTGGTCGTTTAGATGGGCTCATTTTTCTTTGGAAATGACCAGTGACAAGTGATTTGGGACCAAAGATCATAGAGAATTAAGTCATTAATGCTTAATGTTTTATTTAAGGGTCAGTGCCACTTGTAATCACTGAAACTGTCTAATGTAAGCCGGTTGTTTGTTTATTTATTAGCTCTCATTAAAGCAAAAGCTTCTCTTCCTATGATCTACATACCTAATAGCCCTCCAGCTAACGTGGGCTTCATTGTTCATTTCTGTTTATATAAATCATTTTTAACCTTAAAGCTCTAATTTGATTAATTGATTCAACTCAATCACTCTGTTAAAAAGAATCCTTGAAAATTAACCTTCTTGGTGTATTGACAGATGTCAGTTTGCTGGACGTTAATGCATATTTCAAGTTCTCTTACAACAGTCTGTTACAGTTGTATGTAAAAGTTTGGGCATCCCAGTTACGTTTTGTATTTTCTGAGTGAAAATAAGTTACACGTCCTCAACAGAGAACACACTTCTGCACATTTTAATGACTGTTTATTTGCTGAATTTAACGTATTGGAAAAAATAAAACTAAAACATAAGATGTACCCTGTGCAAAAGTTATGACACATTTTATATTTTATGTTTTTTTTTTGTCTAATGTGTTAAACTCAGCAAATAAATAGAAATTGTACACTAAGTTTTGCAGAAAAATGCCATGTTCTTAACTTATTTTCAACAAAACATTCAAACCTTCACATATAACTGTGCATTTTAGGGAATTTTTACCACATAATTATACATATATAAGTACACCTCCTTCTGTCTACACGTGCTGTTCATTTCTTCAGGTCTGTTTACCTCATGTGGTTCTACAATTACAGACTGTAGGCCATCTGTTTCTCTGCGTACTTTGTTAGTCCCCTTTCACTCTGTTCTTCAATGGTCAGGGCCCCTACAAGACCACCACAGAGCAGGTATTATTTGGGTAGTGGATCAGTGGTCACAGGACGCTGCCCACAGGATGCAGTTGGTTGGTGGACTATTCTCAGTCCAGCAGTGATATTGAGGTGTTTAAAATATTAAAGTTGGTTTAAAAAGAACATCCATTTATTAGTGAACTTAAAATCTGTGAAATACAGTCAATTCATTTCATACTAAAGCCGATATAGACACATAAGCCGACTGCTTAAAATAATCATCGATGCAATACTTATAGTACATAGTATTTTACCTATAAAGTATTAAAGTAGAAAATAAATAAATAAATAAATAAATAAAAAGTAAGAAACTGTCCAGAGAAAAATGAGAAGTCATCTAACATCTCTATGCATGCAAAATGTGAATAGAAGTGCATGTATGCGTGAAGCGTGAGTAAAACATAACAAAACTGTTTCCCCCCTGTATTTTCTGCTCCAGATGATGGTCAATAGGACTACTGAGGTAGAGATATTTTCTAGTTAAATTTCTTCAGCATCAGTTTATTTCCTTTTTTCTTACACATTTATTATCCACTTTGTGGCATTGCATGCAAGAACCTTTTTTGTTATTTGAAATGTATGTGATTTTTTAAAAAATTTGCATGGCTGACTGTCTCACTTAAGTATTGTTCAGAAACTGTTTTGATGTATTGGGTTGTAATTTCCATTCATATTAGCGGTGTTACTTTTTAAATGTGCTTGCCTTAAACTGCCATATTTCTTTGCTTTAATGATGCCTTGGTTGATTATGAGGATTTGCTTGCCCGAATGATAATATTACAAACTGACATGGGATGGAAAATCCAATAAACCAGACAGTCTGCATTCTCCCAACATCTGTAATCCTCTCCGTCATGGATTAGGATTCCACAGTGCTTGTGTACAGTTGGTCTGAAACTTACATAACCGACCATCAGGACCATACTTTCCGATGCACAGCTGTTCGCTGCCAACATGGTCAAATATGAGGAAAAATAGCATCCCAACAAATTTGTGTCGCTACACTCTTAAAATTTAAAGTTTCTAAAAGGTCTTTGTACAGTTTCTATCAAAAATCCTTTAATTCTTATAGAACATTTAGATTATGTGGAGAACCATCCTTTGAATTATTCTTTGAAGAAAAAAAACAGGATGTGCATTCTGACAAATTTTCTGACTAAATATCTATAAAAGTTGATATAATGAGTGGATTTTCAGTCAACTGGAGGGAAGGAAATAGCAAAAATAAATAAATAAACAAAGTAGAAAAGAAATACGTTACATTAAGCCTGGCTTAACGTAAGACTTACTTTTTATAGCATGGTGTTCAGTAGCACAAAAGTGCATCAGCTCACAGAGCAAATGGGTAGGTTTAAATGTTGGATAAGTAACAGAAGCTGCCTCTTCAGATGAGCTAATGAGCTAACACTAAAGTTAACTGCTTCAACACTGCTAAAGACTCGTCAGCTTGTATGTGAGCTATTTTTTCCTCAGTGGATGATGTGCCAACATGTTTATCAGAGAAATATGTTTTTGACTGTTTTTGGACCTAGCTAACATCAGCAAGAGAAGCTAGCCTTGTCAGTAAAACGCCACTCTAGAGCCGACTACGCCATCCCGGTCTTCTTAGTCACATCTTTAGCAACACATCCCTGACTACATGCTCACACTGAGGCACTTGTAGTACCAAAGTATAATACACTTATTTACTCACAAATGCAAGCAATACTGACATATTTTACAGTCCTGTTACATCATAAATAGCGATTTCAATGAATTGTTAAACTGTATGTTTTCTCCATTGTCCTGTGATGGAATTTAACAAGTACAAGTGATTTTAATATTGGAAAACTGGCACACGAGTACCTCACATTGTACATCAAGGCAGTTCTTCCGTGGCATCACACAGAACCTTTAGTTTTAAGAGTGTGGAATTACAATTCCATTCATTTAACTTGCTAACTTTAGAGATTGGAGTTTACATTTAGATGTCACCATGAGTTTGTTTTCTCAGCCAAGTACACAAAACTGGTAGCTTGACAGTTTCTTTTGTTTAGCCTGTAAATTTATTTTGCTTGCTGACTTGATTGAAAGGCATATCAGACAATTAGAATTACAACTTTAATCAGTAGCATTGAGAATAATCAGCGTTGAGTAATCTGTCTGTAGATGTTACGTAAGCATGCTTGTTGAATAACTTGAGAATAATCAGTTTTAGCCTGCAATTAAGCATTTAAAGCAAATAAATCATTCTGTGTGAACATCCATACATCCACCAAAAATGAAATAATATCATCTCACTAAGTGCATCTTTTACATGTTTTTTTTCTGTTTTGCTGAAAAATCTGTGCCACATCTAGGCAGGATGTATGAATGTTTATATTAAAATCACAGTAATTAGTACATATAGAAATGTGGTAAAGTAATCAATGATAACTATATGAATATGTTAAATTGGTTAAAATTGTAGGCCTAAATGTGTTTTGACTTAATTGATTTAATTTTTTGCATGGTAGTAAAAACAGCTATGAACAAGACCCTAAAGCATCAGCTTATTTTCAGATAATGCACTGCACAGCATGATGCACCACTTATATTTTGTTTTGCACCAGCTTTGAATGTGTATCACATAGTCAATGTTTCCTTCACACTTTTGTAAATGATGTTTTCACATTAAATCGGACCGTGACTTTCAGAATGGAAAGGTAAGGCAAGAATTTCACGTACTTCAAATTGCTCAGCCAATCTCTACTTTCTCATATTCCTACCTATATATTCCTAACATAACTTGGTTACTGATAAGAGCTACAGTGCAATAATGCTCCTTTTTTTCATTTCTTGAATATGTTTTCATTCTTTTGGGGTTTTTTCTTTCTTCTTCCTTTCTGTTTTCTTTTCTTACCCTCTGCAGTATATTTACTAAAAATGTACTCTGTCACTGCTTATGTACTCCGTGTTTGTTCTGTTTCATGGGCATATATTTTTGTACTTGGATTTGATTTGGGATTATATCTTCACTTTGCATGCCTGTGTCTGGGATCTGGTCTCTGATACTTCCTGTGAATGTGTGCCCTAAGTTTCATATGGGGTTTCCATAAGGCTCTGGTTTATTTTCTTAAATACTCTCCATGTTTATGCTCCATTTAAATGACAGTTTTGATGAATTCCCTCCCTGACATTTAATTTCTATTTTACAATTTCATCTTCTTATATGTGTGATTGCTGCATGCCAGTACAGTAGATACAGATTGGTCAGGGATGTGTTTTTCAGCATTGGTGGTAGTCAACTTTGTCAGTAAGTGCAGATCTAAAATTTGGCTTTAAAGGTATAGTCCAGTAGTTTTCAACCTAACCTCCATCTGCAGCATCTGTAGCGGGACATATTGATTCCCTGTACTTTTAAAAGAGCAAAAGCCAAGGGGTAATTGCTGAAATCTGACAGTGAATGTTTATGCAAAACATGATTTTTGAAGAGCTCTGTCATAATATTACAAATTAAGCTGTTAATCTACACAATTAGTTTTCCATAGGGAAGAACAGGTGGTAATATGTTACCAGTGTAGTAGTGGTGTATACCAGATTTGCTTTTTACTGTGCTGCTCAGCAGTTATGTAAAACCTCATAAGAGTAGTTTTACTAAAATATTCTCTCATCCCAAAACCTTTATTTTTATTTCACTTCACTGAAAATTCACAGCATACAGGCACCTACAGTGTGCAAGTCAGTGTCCACCCTTCATTTATTTAATTTCCAGTCAAAACAGCCTTTAACTACAAGTTATCCAAAATGTGTACTTAACAGAAAATTACAAAAAAGCCACAATGAAATATAACATCACATTTTTCAGTATAGAAAATTGAAGTTGCTTTCAATTTTTCAAAGAAATCTGCAGAAATATTTTTCCCCACCTCTAAAGTTCAGTCTTAGAAGTTGGTTGCGGTTTCTCCTTCTTACAATTTAAGTACTCCCAATTACAAATGTAGACTTCCATAAAACCTTGCTCCACATCTCAAATGTCCAGTTTTAGTATTGTAGTACAAATCTTTTTTTCTGACTTTCTCCTATCTTATGCAAGTGGATTATCTTATATCTCTTCATGAAAAATCATCTTGAAAATGAGTGACCTTGTGTTGCTTTGACTGGAAAATAAATAAATTAAGAGCAGTCTCTGATTATGCGCAGTACTATATTTCAAACGTTTATTCATAGAATTCAGCAGCTGCCCTTTGGCTTCAGTTATAAGTGAGTTTTGAGGCAGAAGGTACAGAGAAATGTCCAAATGATTGTTTATAGAAATTAACAGTATGCTAAAGATATGGCAGCTGGAGATCAGGTTGAGGATTCTAGAGTATTCCTTTAAGCTTATCCCCAGAATGGCCAGTGAGGTCATTTGTGTTGCTGCTAGACCTGCATTTGCTGACGGTGTGGCTGTGGAGTGTTTGCAGCAGGTGTGTTTTGTAGTGATGAGTGAACTGTTGTGTTTCTGTTTCCTCTGTTCTGCTCCTGTGTTGCAGAGTGGCTTCACTCCACTGCACATTGCAGCTCATTATGGAAATGTGAATGTAGCGACGCTGCTCCTAAACCGAGGAGCCGCTGTGGACTTCACTGCCAGGGTGTGTACACAGATTCTCTGACTAACACTGTAGAAAATGTCACATAGGTTTTAGAAGTCCTGCCTGTTCAGCACGACAGAGCGCTGTAGTCTGCAAATGTAGAAGGACATTTTTTGGGAGTTTTTGTCTCTTGCCCCACCCCCCCCTCTCTCTCGCTCACTCTCTCTCTTTTGCTGTGTCTCTGTCTTTCGCTTTTATGCTTTTTGTTTTTTATCTGTTCTCTGTAATGTGCTTTTTCTTTCTTTCTATCTCTTTCTTTTTTGCTTTTTCTCTTTCTCTTGTTTTTTACTTTTTCTCCCTCTATTGCTTTTTTAGCTTTCTCTCTCTCTCTCTAGCTTTTTGCTTTTTTTGCTCTCTTTCTCTCTCTTGCTTTTTTGCCTTATCTCTCTCTCTCTCTCTCTCTCTCTCTCTCTCTCTCTCTCTCCCTCTCTCTCTCTCTGTCTGTCTCTCTCTGTCTCTCTCCAATCAAGTGTTAAAAGTACTCCTGATAAATCTGTACCTAAATTTAGACCTGAATCTGATCTGAAGTGAGGATCAAATTTACTGTCATATTAAGGTCACTTATTGTGCATGTTTGGTTGTTTTCAGTAGTGGTGTGATAAAAATTGCTATCTTGTAATACACTATTAATGCATCATAGAAACACAGAGGCCCAGGTATTGATTTTAGTTATTGACATAGTTATTTAACTATGAATGTTTTAAAATGTATTAAGGTCACTGTTAAACTAATAGATCATCAAAACAGACGGAGTAGTGGATAACACACTCACCCTGCACATAAGGGATCTGCTGTTCAGTAAGGATTCAGAAATGCCACTGTAACATACTAATAAGAGTCTCACATTACAGTACATTCACATTCTGTTGCCTATTATCTGCATAAACACATAGTTAAATATTTTAAAGATAAAGCCTGTTTTGAATGTGTTTGTCTGCTTTGCAAATAAAAGCATCTCCTCATTTTTTTAGATAAAAAGATAAATCAACATTTTTATGTTGATTCATCTACTTCACACTTCCTGTTTGCTTCAGCAAAAATATAAAAAATGAAATGATATGAACAAAGTGTGAACTTCATTGGCTTAAACAAAGTTTTCTTTTAGTTCAGTTATTTGTAGTCAGAAGTAATGTAAATATACAATATGTCATTTTATTAATATGCAGTATGTCGTATAATCATACCTAGAACAACACAAATCTTTAAATATTGGAACAGAATTAAATCATGGCACAAGTATCATAATGATGTGGTATTATGGTATATGTAGCGATTCCCACCCCTATTTTTCATTTATTTATTAGTTTATAATTGTTTATTATGTAAGTTTATGTAGGTTATGGCTTGTGAAATATTTTTGTATGGGATTTATAATGGCCTCTGGACATTATTGATACATATATATATATAGATATATATATTTTTTTTTGGTCTTTTTCTGATTATAATTTATGAATATTTAGCTTTACTTTGCATAGCTTTAATTTAGATTCTTCCATGTTTCATGCTGCTTGCAGAATGGAATCACACCATTACATGTGGCATCTAAGAGGGGTAATACAAACATGGTCCGTCTGCTGCTGGACAGAGGGGCACAGATTGATGCCAAAACAAGGGTGAGTTGCCTCAGCGGGGCTGTATTTAATTAGACTGAAATTTTCTTCTCACTACGAAAGCAGACTCTTATTCACAGTTTGATGTCATGTATCAGGATTATCCTTGCCACATTTTTTTGCTTAACTTACCTTACTTTTTGAAATATTACATATATATTTGTTTTTCACAATGTGCAACATGCATTAGGATAAAAATGGTAAACACAATGCAGGTTTTGCAAGCTTATGTAAATGCAGTGGCTATGAAGTTAATGTAGATTGTGTTAAATTTGAGGATGTGTATATCCATATTGCATGAATAATGTGGAATTACAGCTCATTTATAGGTAGTCCTTCTAATTTATGTGTAAAAACAGGGGTTTCCTTAGTTGTTCCTTGATCAGCTGTGGATTGTTGCTTCATTAGTTTTTGCATAAGAGAGTTGACCATAGGTGTACAGATAATTAGAATTTTTTGCATCTGGAGTGTGTTGTTGTTTCTCAATATAAGGACCAGGGAATGGTCAGATTCTGTTAAAGCAGATAATCATGAGGCTGAAAACAGCATAAATTGATTATCATGCTAGATGTTGGAACATTGCTGTGAGGACCTAAGTAATGGATGCCTGAAGAATCCTCTGAATCATGAAGAAAAAACTCTCTAGGATGTAGGCACCAATGTGTCAGAGACAACCTGCAAGAGGGAAATCATGGGTCTCAAGAGCAGAAAGTCCAGGTTAAGGTTTGCTAAAAGATGCATAAAACCCCTATAAACTAAGTAAATGTTTATGGACAAGCTAAGCAAACATTGCACATAGTGAACATGAGACTGAATACAGATATGCCCCAAAAGGCAGATACAGAAATCCCTCAGGCCTGGCAGAGTATAAGCAATTAAGATATTCAGCATATTGTAATGTCTGTGAGTTGCACACTTGAGTTAATCGTTGATTGCTAAGGATTTGCAACACATACTAAATATGACTATTTCAGTAAAGATTATATGAATTTGGCGAGTCGTGCACATGATTCACCCAATATGGACGTAAAAACCAAATGAAATCAAATGAAAGCTTTCTGCTCTTTAACCTCTTAGTCATTGTTTCACTGCAAATGCCATATGTTGAACTACAAGGAGAGAAAGCAAAAAAATCACTGTCCAAAGACTTTCTATGTAATAAGGTTGCACATATAACGTTTGTTAATCGTTATGATGTTGGCCTTTGCAAATGAGTGTTTCAGTGGGTGTTTATAAATCAAGGTATTCATGGAATTGGTCAAGATAATGCAGTCTTTATTTTTAACTTGATCTTTAAAGAAGTCACATTATTGATTTACCAATGTATTTTTAGTACAGTATTGATTGTATTATAATCCAAGTTATTAATTTATTGGTGTATAAATATTATTTAATATATTTGGAGGCACATCACAATATGACTGTTATACTACTATTTTCTCCATATCATCCAGCCCTACTACAGTCGTATGCAAAAATTGGGGCGCCTCTAGTCAAATTGCATGTTTAGTTGATTTTCTAAGTGATATGTTGAATTTAACATATTAAGGGAAAAACATAAAATGTTATGGCACATATTTCTATTTTATGTTTTTTTCCCCAATATGTTACACTCAGCAGATAAATAGATTTTGTGCACTAGAATTTACAGAAATATACAATATTTAAGTTAGTTCACTGTAGAGGATTTAGCCTATTAACTTTTTTAATTTTTAAAAAAACTTGTATTTTGACTGAGGGTGCTCGCCCAGTACATCATTACTTTATAGCAGAATATAATGATGCGGTGATGATAAGAGCTCAATTAATTGCTGCTAGTTGAGGAGGGGTGGAGTCAGTGGAGTGTAGATGAGGACATGATGTCTGGCTTACTTTGATGTGAAGGGATATAATTTTACACTAAAAGACCTGTTTAAAGTTCTGATTCTGATAGCTGAGGTAGAAGGGGAGAAAAGTTTTTGAAATGAATATTGTGTTGTCTGCTTAGAGTTTGAATGGCTTAACCACACTGTCGTCCATCTCATTGATTTGGAGAGGGGTTGTAGTGGAATGTTTGCAGAAATCAATGATCATTTCCACTCTTTTAGTGGGGTGGGTGCCGGTGAATAGCACATCAGGCTTTTTGTCTTGTTACTGCACTTATAATAATGCAAAATTGTAGTGAAACGTTGCAACACAGGATATTTGTCATATTGCAACTGCAGTAAAACAGTGTGCTGTGAAATGACCAAGTCAACTTGATTTATATTCATTTATTTATTTATTTTAAAGTAATGCTTGCAGAACCCTGATGCTGTGATAGAAATCACAGCATCATGAGTAACTGGACAAAATAACACCTTAAACAAAACATATTTATATTAATATATTCATGTCAAATAGAATATATTTCATATTTTGTACTTGTTTGCAAGTCTGTTGCACTCTGTAATTAACTCAGTTTGCAACCCACAGACTTTACCCAAATCCATAAAACTAAAGCTAACTTTCTGCATTTTAACCCCAGGTTAACTGGAGTATTGAGCCAAGAAAACAGAACAAAACAAAGAAAAAGCAAGTACTATGCAAACCTCTTAGGCACCTGCACATTGGTTGAAACCATATTTCTTGGAAATAGTGTGTTTTTGCTTGTAAAACAACATACATCCTAGAATAAGTACAAATAAACATAAACAGTACAAAGGAACAAGAATTTCTTAGTTTGAATAAGGTAGTTGACATCTTGTTAGCAGGACCAGCCATCACACAAATTTATTGAATTCCATCACCATCATACCTGATTTAATGTAATGAAGCAATGACATACATCGAATCACTACTTAATATAATAATGTTATTTGTATTTATTGCAACGTTAGTGTTTTTTCTCAGCAAACAAATACTTGAAGAATTCACCTGCAAAAACAGATATCTCCATTTGAATTATTTTTTTTTTTTTTATTGTACATTCCAGGTAATATCAGTCAAACTGTTGTTGAGTTGTTTTGATTAAGTAAAACTTAAAATACATGTAACTTACAAAATTAACTTTATTGAAAAACATTTTTAATTAAAATTTTGTTTTTTGGCAAAAGCAGAAAACTGCTAATTTCATGTTTCAGAGTTAAACAAAGTCATGTAATGGATACAAGTTTCAGTATTTTACATACTTTAACATAAAACAAGTAGTTAACATGCTAAGAATTGCAACAAAAACAGAACTTTAATGGGCAATGTTAAACATCTATCTAGATCATACCTCGCATAAAGAGTCCTAGTTCTATGCTGATACATTTCCAATTCCATGTTGATGCGTTTCACTGCCAAATGTGGACATGCATCTATTTCTCTGGTGGTAGATTTTCATGCACCATGTAAGTAATGGAATTTTGGCTTTAGCACCGAAATACTGCACTTTATGTCCAGTGTAGAGTTTGTGCACACTTGGTTGAATCCAACATGGTTCTTTGTTAGACAGGCTGTGCTCTGTTTAGATGTAGTAGACTTTATTTTAAGACCTACGTACTGCACTTTGTAGGGTGAAGGGAGCCATTTTAGATTCTGCCTAAAACAGTTTGGAGCAGTCATGCATCACCTGACCCGAATACTGCATGCTGATTCGCTGAACAGAGTTATCTGGTTCTACTCGAAAACAGCGCTGACGCTTGACTGTGTCTGCTGTAGAACGTTAACTTGCAATACCTTGACAAAGGACAATAAAAGCTTTTGTGACAAAATGTATTTAGGGTTCAGAATGCGGCATGTGTTAAGAATAACTCGCAACTGTCAGCTTGTTGGATGGCGTTTATCGTTTTTGCAAATGAACTCCTCACTTACTGATCAGATATTTAGCTTTTAAATATAATTTTCTCAAGTACCTAAAAGTTTTGCATAGTACTTTATGTCACTGTCCAAGCACTTATGAACCGCACTGTATTTTTCAAAAAATCCAAATAAATTTCTGCTTGGAATATTGACATGTTCTTCACTCTGAGTTAAGTGTACGACATCAAATCAACATGGCTGCTCACATAGTCAGTAATAATAAAGTACAACTTCTCTAGTTTTAATATTTGCATTAGATCAGTCACCACATAGACAGAGCAATTCATTAAATCTATATCTTTGACCCTATTGTTTGCTGTAAATATACTTTGAGCATTATCTGTATTATCACTCATATTACGTTGGCCGGCTGGCTTGTTGCTAACAGTAGTTGCTTTTATGAAAGTTTGCATGTTTTTTCTTACTTTCTTAACATGCAGAGGTCAAAAATGATGTCATTCCAAAACTCTGACCTCTCTCTTCTAAATTAAGACCAATGAAGCATTAGGGTCACCCGTGATACCATCTGACAAAACCAGAATATTGACAGAAGGGTCACTAGAAGTTAAGTAAAAGGCAAAACTGCAGCCATAAATTGCTAATGCATTGGTGTTGGGAGGCTGACAAGCAAGGCCCAGTCATACATTCTGTCATAGAACTGAGGTAAACCTTATAATATCGAGGCAAAAAAGCAGCTCTTCGCCTTTAATAATGTAATATCTTAATGCTGCTATTATTTTGATTTGTGGAGAACATGATATAATAAAGTTCAACTACCAGCAAGCAAACTTATGAATAGGAGTATACTTCGCACTTCGGTCGCCTATTATTGATATTCTGATGAAACAAATCAATAAAAAGCCCTTAGTGATATGAATTCCGTTCTGAATGTGCATTCACGCTTGCACAGAAACTAGTGCAGTGCATCAAGCAATATAGACAGCATCATGCTTCTTTATACAGTAATTGAAAACATGGTTGTGCATAAAGAGCTCTAATTCCATGCTGATACATTTCCTATTCCATGTTGATGCATTTTCCTGCCAAATGTGGACATGGATGTTTCCAGGTGGCAGATTTGCATGAAAAGTTGACAAAGCCAAAGTCTCTGAAGTTATATGCGGTACTGTGCTAAAGTCAGAGACCACCTTCATGTATTCAGTTTCCAGTCAAAACAACCATTAAGTTAAAATCATTCATTTTCAGTGTAAGAAAAAAAATGTATTAGTATTCACACTGTATTTAGTATTCAGTGTGTCAACCCTTTTCCTTTAATGCAGATTCTATTCTTTCAGCAAACTTGCTTTCAGTTTTTTAAAGTAATCTTCAGGGATATTTCTCTGCACCTCTAAAGTTCAGTCTTAGAAGTTGGTTGCATTTTCTGCTTCTCATGATCCAAGTAATCCCAAACACACTCAGTGATGTTGTGGTCTGGACAACACCACCAACTTCTTTGTTTGATTTATAAGTGTTCCTCTATGTTGTCTTTTTTCTTTTCTCAGTAACTGCTTTTTGACAGCCACACATCCTTTCAGACCCCTAACGTTGACATACAGAGTATCATTTTCTTTATCTTTTATCACTTTTTTCAACTCAATTTTGGAATTCAAGTTTCCTTTGACTTTGCTCTTCCTTATGAAAGTGGATTATATCTAATCTCCTAAGAAATATCTCCTGAAAACTGAATTACATGTTCTTAATGGCTGTTTTGACTGGAAAATTAAAACATGAAGGGTGGTCTCTGATTGACGCACAGTGCTATATCATTCTGGGTATTATTTGCTGCAGATATGTGGAGTCACCTTACTGTAGCATCCACCGCTATTTACAGCTAGGTATAACTGTGTTTCCTGCTTAAGAATGATTCATGCTGGAGTGCCAGCTGGTTCTGTACTGTTTGATCTCTATTCTCTATTCTGCAGGCTCCCACCTGCAGTGTGTCTGACCTATTGTCCCACCGCCTGCACCACACACCACACAGTGTACCTGCTTCAGCAGAGCTTTTAGTACCATCAGCACTGATGTACTGCACTGCAGTGAGAGACAGGTAGGGTGATGAAGAGAGACAGGGACAAAAAAGACTTACAGAGAGCTGTCAACAAGCTCAGGATAAAAGACAAAATGCAAGTGGAGATGAAGGATATACAGTTCTTTCCCACAAAAACATTCAAAATGGGTTGAATTCTATCATAGCTTGAGAAAAAGAATTTGTCAAACAATAACATGGAAAGTCAGCGCCATAGGTGTCACTGTCGGTGAACCACAGGTGAACTCTAATGCTGCCTTTACATCGTGATGGTAGATGACAGCAAACTGGATATTCCATGTTGTTCAATGGAGCAGCGACAGAAAATTGTGCTACAACTGGCAGCAGTAGCAGCGTAGAACATTCCATCAGGAGTTCAGGTTTATTTTTGCCATCAAGCGCAGCGATGGAATACATTTTTTCAAAAAACGGGTGCTAAATGCTTTTAGATGAAGTTCAGGACTATTCATTCATGTACAACACAACCCAAACTTCAATAAAACACAGCATTAGAAAGAGTGCAGTGCAATGTATTTAGAAAGCTTTTTAGGGTAAGGTAGTGGCTAACAACATCTCCTCACACACGAGCAGGAACGCCACAGCTATACCAATAACCATACCAATAATACACTACTTTACCTACGTTTTTTAACAACGGAGAAGATTCTATGCAAAACTGCCTGCTGAAACTTAAGTAAATTAAACAGCTGCTCCCCCAGCTCTCCACCCATTTTTGCACATTCTCTCTCAAATCCATTTATATGAGGGAGAAAAACACATTTTGTTTTTTGCTTGTACTTTGCGTACAAACTGGACATTTAGGCTTGCATACCAGTTCTGTGCATAATATTCATGCTTTTTTCAGGAGTGCATCCTATTTACAGCTGAAAATGGGAGCACAATATATCTGGCCCTGGGTGTTTGCACAAAGGTATTCATTTCTCAGCATTACAGATACAGCACATTTCCTGAACACTGATACAATGTGATGTGGTGTTCGATACGTATGTGTGTTTGATACTGCTACCACTGAGTTCACTGAAGGACAGCTGATAGACAGTCGCAAGCAAGCCAGCTTATTTTGGTAAAGCATGCTAATCACTGAACATCTGTACCGCTTGGCCCAAAGTGGTGAAAAAAAAGGCCACTGTTCACTGCTGAACAAACAAAAAACAACACAACCTCACTGAAACAGCAGGCAGGTTTTGTTTTAGCTCTACATAATTCCACAAAAGAGTTATTTTTACATGACATTGAGGATGATGACCATTTAGAGTGGGACAAGGGCATGGCAACCCCTGTGTTTGTGGGTGTGTGAATGTGTGTTGGCAAATGGGTCAGATGCACTCGAGCTTTTTAATAAAAATGTTTATTTGACCTGTGAGTGTGTGTGTTCTCCACAGGATGGCCTCACACCTCTCCACTGTGCGGCAAGAAGTGGACATGACACAGCGGTGGAGCTGCTGCTGGAGAGAGGAGCCCCCATTCTTGCCAGAACCAAGGTACACACATATACACATTTGTTTGTAAAATGTCAGTACATGTAGATGGGTGATAAATTAAAAGCAAAAAACAACATAAATTGTCTTAGTAAGGTGTTTAGCCATCAGAATAGCTTAAATGCATCTGATATTCTACAAGCCCCAAGAACTATGCTTAAGAAATGAAACACCATGCTGCCAAAAGGTATTCCCTCAGATGGTGTTTTGCTGAAGGTTGTAGAAGGGGCTGCATAGCACATTAGACTAAAATCTCCTATAGGTGTCAAACCAAATTGAGATCTGGTGACTGTGACGGTCATAGCATATGATTACATCATTTTATACTCATTCATTGATTCATTCCTGCCCTGTGGATGGGGGCTTTGCCGTCTTGGAAGAGACCACTACCATCAGAAAGACCATGTTTTAATGAAGGATAAAGGTGATCAGTCAGAGGAGCTTTATATTGATTTGCAGTGACCCTTCATTCTAAGGGGAAATGGACCTAAACCATGCCAGCACAATGCCCCCATAACAGAGCCGCTACACTCCTTTAGTGTAGAAGTCAGGCATTTAGGCCTATACTGTTATCTTGGTGTACGCCACACATGCACCCACCTACTTGTGGAGAATATGGTGAGGTTGACTCATCTGTCCAGGTCACGTTTTTCCACATCTCTGTAGACCAGTGTAGACACTCTTTTGTTTTTCCTTAAATATCACACAAGTGTACATGCATCACATCACTGAATGTGCACATTTAACCTCAGTTCCCAGCCCTGTTTACTGATGTCTTTCCCATAGATCTAAAGGCAGATGTTGTGACTGAAGCTCCTGCCATCTATACCCAAATAATGAACCCTTTTTCAAAGTCACAGCGCGATTTCACACTGAATACTTGAGTCTGCACCCCGGACCATTTCTGGGTTCATTTTGAGGGAGGGGTTCATTGTCACTGGTTTTCTTTTATGCACAAGAATTCCATCCATTCCAAACTTCACTTTTCTGTGTGCACGCTAGCGAAATGGCAGGCACTAGCTTCATCTGTTTGCTGCTTTTTATTACTCTCCTTACATACAAACATTCAAGCAGCAGAACAATTCAGAGTATTTTTATGAGTCGCGGCCATTTGAGTGCCTTCTTCACTCCATATATCTATGAGGCATTCCGTCTCCGCCGCTGTCCACAGCAGTCCTTACTGTCCCATCACAAAACTTGAAAAGGGAAGTGACGCAATAAGTCGAAGCAGTCCCTGGACAAAATGCACCAATCACACAACCTCACATGCGGCGTCAGGAGGGAATATCATCCACACGTGCAGCTGACTGCACTAGACTTTGCTGAAAGCAAACCCCAGACCACCGATTTCAGGAGAAGCGTAGACCGGTTCTCTGGACTGCTCCTGGAGTTAAAAAAGTGTTCACACTTAACCAAACACGCCGAGTTCGCAGAGCAAGTGGTTCTGTGTCCTGAAAAAACGCTAGTATGAAAACGCCTTTACTCTTGCTGTCTCCAATCAAGATCAACTGGGCATGCTCAGCAATTTAAACATGCCACAGTGCAAAGTAGAATGTTAATGTTTATGCAGTATGAGTTCTCTCAAGTCTTTTCTCTAATTTTTACCCGTCTTTATGTCCCGTATGCATTATTTGTGAATGTGTCATCCTCAACTTAACAGACTTGACAAACACTACTTGTGTGTTGGTGGAGGATACAGTTGTGTTGCTCACTCTCTCTCTTTTACTTTTCCCTCTCTTCCCTCAGAATGGTCTCTCTCCTCTCCACATGGCAGCACAGGGTGACCACGTTGAGTGTGTTAAGCACCTGCTGCAGCACAAGGCCCCTGTAGATGATGTCACCCTGGACTACCTGACCGCCCTCCATGTTGCCGCCCACTGTGGTCACTACAGAGTTACCAAGCTTCTGCTAGACAAGAGAGCTAACCCCAACGCTCGAGCACTGGTGCTATTCCTAATGTCTTCCATTTCAACCTTATTTTATTATTTATTGAAGGCATCATAACATAAAAAGATATGAGAGGCTCTTTTCCTGTACTTAGGAAAGAACCAAAAACCTGTCGATTAGAATCCCTTGGGCAGCTGCTGAGCTCTACAAATAAACGTTCAAAATAAAGGACTGTATAGTGCAAATTCAAAACTGCTACCATTATACTCTTAACAATGCAGGTTTTGGGACAGTACAGACATGAGAGAATGTCTTTCCAAAGCTGTTCCTATTAAGTGTTAAGTAACTTTCAAACATTGGAACTGCCCAGTAAAAAGAAGCAGTTTGAATTTTTTCTTTAATACGTAACGGCATATATTTTGATGGAAATGAGTGTGATTTACAAAACTGGATGTAAATATCTTTGTAGGCGAGCAAGTATTAAGAGTCAGCATTTCGCATAAGGAGCCAAGAGTGAGCTAAATAATCTAATATCAGTGTTACAGGGAAAAATATTTTATTTGTTTATATTAAATTAAAGTTATACTAGTCAAATGTGAGTTGCTTTCCATCTTCTGCTGAATTGACCTCTAGGGGGCCTGCAGAGCTAAGAACTAACTAAGAAATATGCATTAGTTATTTAAGGGTATGCTTACACATGTCTTGACCCTGTCTTGTGTCTCTCACAGAATGGCTTCACACCTCTTCATATCGCCTGTAAGAAAAACAGAGTGAAGGTGATGGAACTACTAGTCAAGTATGGAGCTTCCATCCAGGCTATCACTGAGGTATGCAAACCACACACACACACTTATATTCTTATAACCATGTACTGAGCAACATACTTTTTGTTAGGAGGGGTAAGACAGCAGTCACTTGTGACTGCTTGCAGAGAGATACCTGATTTAGTACATTCAAATTGGTGCAGAATTACACCAATCATAAAAAGCAGAGGTATAATTAAATAATTGTGTATAATTCAATCACTGAGAAGTAAACAAAGTCATTAAGAGTGGTTGGATGTGAAATGGAACAGTGCAGAGAAACCTACTGACTCCTTTACAGTGCTGATGATAGAAACCACAGATTGTGATGTCTGCAATGCAAATATACCCTTTTTTGCTATTGAAAATGGCTGTTGAACGTACAAGTGTCTTATAAGGTTTTATATGTAATACTGACAATGGTAAAAAATATTGTGCTCTTAAAATTTATGTTTAAGGCCAAGACATAAATCTCAAAACTATTGTAAAAGATGTGTTCATTTTCATTTAACCAGCCATTCATGCCACAGAAATATGTGCAGGTTAGATTTGTAATTTATACGGTGACATCCCCCACCCCCCTTTCTTTCTGCAGTTCTTACTTGTGTCTTTGACTTTTAGACTTCTGTCTTGTCTCTTTGCTCTTCAGTCTGGTCTTACTCCTATACATGTGGCAGCGTTTATGGGCCACCTCAACATTGTCCTCCTGCTGCTGCAGAATGGAGCTTCCCCTGACGTCAGCAACATAGTGAGTAACGTTAGTCAGCGTGTTTCTGTGCATGTGTGTATACGAGTCCATGCACTAATTTATGCCATTTTTAATCACAGCGTGGAGAGACTGCTCTGCATATGGCCGCTCGAGCTGGACAGGTGGAGGTGGTTCGTTGTTTGCTAAGAAATGGAGCCATGGTGGATGCCAGAGCCAGGGTAAGACATTATGCCCATGCATGCACACACTTTTGACTCTTACAAGCGCAACATATACTTGTATAAACGTATACTCTAAGTGGCAAAAGTGTGTGAAAACTTAATAATTACAGTGTAATAAACATAGTAATTACTATGTATTTTATGTAATTACTGTAATTGCAACTACATACCTAGCTACGTGTCTAACATTTCTCAAGTGCAAGAAATCTACTAACTAAACTGTTGTCAGACCTAAAAATGTTTATGTAGTAACCAGTGAAATTGCTGTACATCGCCTCAGCAGTAGGTAATTGTCATGGTAATTAGTGATAACACAAATTTATTAGCTTTTATATTGTGTATAGTTTTATTTCCTCAAGGTGTCTTGATTCAACAGTACATAGTTTAAGTCCTGCCATTTCTAGGTAGCATTGCTCACAAGCAAGAAACTTGTGTTTTCATTTGAATGTGTTGCTGACCTTTCACCCTCGGCACTAGGAGGACCAGACCCCGCTCCACATTGCCTCTCGGCTGGGGAAGACGGAGATTGTCCAGCTGCTCCTCCAACACATGGCTCATCCGGATGCTGCCACCACCAACGGCTATACGCCTCTCCACATCTCTGCCCGTGAGGGTCAGCTGGACGTGGCGTCAGTGCTGCTGGAGGCTGGTGCCTCACACTCCCTTGCAACAAAGGTGAGGGACAAGCAGACACGGCTAACATGTAGTCATCGGTTGCAGCCATGTGTCCTGTAAGGGTGTTCAAGCCTGGAAGAGCCAGAATTATGCTGTCAAGAACAGCAGGGACACCTTTGTTATTTCTGTGTGGACAGTTCTAGTTCTGTTTTTTTCAAATCCACATAGAAAAACTCAGGTTCAAAATGTAACCTGTCTTGCTGAGTTAGAGAAGAAAAGATTGCTAGTTTGGTCTAAAAAAATAAATCATTATAAAAGCTGCCAAGCATACAGGTTTTTATGTAGGTAACCTGAGAATAAAATGTGGAGAGAAAGTTTAGTTTGACTCACGTTAGAACACACACATAAAGTCTCTGATTGAAGAAGGCTGTCAGTATTGATTATATTAATAACAGATTATAGTAGATTATTTTGATTATAAATCCTCAAACAATAAGCATGACTTTTATTGAACAATAACACAATTTTGCTTAACCTTTCAAATGAAAAAGGAAGCTTTTAAAACTGTGTGGATAAAACACTATGTGGCAATAAAAGTGAAAAGAATTGAACATGTCCTCTGTAGGAACAACCTTAAATATGGCATTGTCTGCAAATTTTATGTTTATTATTATGATATGTGCTGTCACTTTTGCACACACTATATATTGTTTTATTTTTTCCCAATATGTTGAATTTAGCAAATAAACAGTAATTTTGCATTTAAATGTGTGTAAGTGTGTCCCCTGTAGAGGATATTTTCACTTAGAAAATCAACAAAACGTGTCATTTGACCATGGACGCGTAAACTTTTGCATAAGGTGGTAAATGGGTCAGGCTGTGACCAGTAGGAGAATTTACAGTGTACGTTATCATCACGCAAATTGCCAACTAGCCATAGCCAATTTATTGAGAAGATACATTTTATTTTTAAATTAATTAATACATTTTGGTTTTGGTGTGTGTGATCGAGTTTACTTGAGTTATTGTCACAGCCCCAGTCAGAACATTAAACATTTCATTTTTCATATTAAATGTAACCTTGTCTTAGTAATCCAGGGTTGGGGTCAGCTCCATTTCAGTTCATTCAATTTGAATTCACACAGTTCGGCTGGGCATTTGAAATTCGGGTCAGGATCGGCATGCACTGGTACATTATTGAAGAGATTATTCTGCAGTTAATACATTTAATTCATCTAGTGAATTTATCCTGAATTGATGAGATGACTCTAGCTCTAATGTGATTCATCTCAATGCTGTTTTGCTCCCCTTCTTCATTACTGTTTGAAACAGTGCGGTGTTATTGAGTGGTTCTCCTTTCTGTCTGTGCTGTGGATAAACATGATGATCATGTGACTTTATGAGCAGACACGCCTGTCTCAGAGAGAAAAAGCTGACTCACTGGCTCCCTCTGCTGTGTGTCTGCCTGTATTCTGCACTGCTTGTTTTTTTTCACTGCATAGATACACTGGAACAGCACTGAATTGCTTCATGTTGCATCAGCACTTTAGTTTCTGGGTGCTTCTATTCTGTACCTTTCTACACTGTACTGGTGAACAATCTGATATCCTGTACAAAGATTAGTAATACATTCAATAATAATTAGACCTGAAATTACTGTTGATTTGCCTTCTGTTCTGAGCAATGATACAGTACTCACTGAGGTCTTAAAAGCAATTACACATAACACATAACAAAAACTTATTATTATAGTAAGTTATTATTATTTTTGTACTACAGTAATTACATTTGTGTTATTTCTATAACTTAATGTAATGACTGTAGTAGTAAGCTTATTTATAGAGGACCTTTCATACAAATAGCATCTCAAAGCTTAAATCAAATGAATAGATTAATGCAAACAGCAAAGTAATATTTTATTTAAAGCTAAATTGAAAATATACAGCACTGTGCAAAAGTCAGAGAGTGCTGTTCATTTGTTTAATTTCAACCAAAAAATAAGTTATTCATTTTTTATTGTCTGGTCAAAAAATCAGAAAACACATATGTAACAGAAGATTATGCAGAAACCTCAACAACTAACTATAATATCATTTTTTATATATCAGTAATATCAGTATTTAATGTGTCCACACTTTGCCTTTATTACAGCTTCCATTCTTTTGAGGAGACTTGAAATCTGCTGGGATAGTTTTCCACAAGTTCAGTCTTAGAAGTTGGTTGTATTTTCTGCTTCTTGTGATCCAAATAATAATAAAAAACGTTCAGTGATGTTGAGGTCTAGACTCTGGGATGACCAGTCCATTGTTTTGAGAACACCAGCAGCTTCTTTGTTTAATTTGTCAATTTTCTGTTTTGCCTATTTCTTTTTCCCAGTAATGACTTCGTTCATGGCTGCACATCCTTTCAGACCCATAGCGTTTAATTATCCAGTGGAATTTTTCAGATGTGGAACTTGTTTTCCCTCTGGAACTTGTTTCATCTCTCAAAATGAAAAGTACTGTTTATCTGATGGCGGCAGTGTTGGTGGTCTACCAGTTCTGCTAGTTGATTATCTTATATGTAATCTAATTAGAAAAATCTCCTGAAAAAAATTAATTCATTGTTCTTTACAGTTGTTTTAGTGTAAGTTAAATAAATGAAGGTTGGTCTCTGATGTTTTCCCATTACTGTATGTTTACTGAACTTGACTGCCTAATAAAAAGAGAAATTAAGTTCCACAGTTTAGAAACATTTAAATAAAAGAGGCCATTTCCACTTTTTCTGTTTCATAGAATCATACACTGACCATCAACCAGCATTTTTAATAGGTTAACTCTGTCTGTCGTTCTTTTTACCTTTTCAGAAGGGGTTCACTCCCTTACATGTGGCATCCAAGTATGGCAGCCTTGATGTGGCAAAACTCCTTCTACAGCGGCGCGCCCCTCCAGACTCATCGGGCAAGGTAAACATAAACTTCCACATTAAGTGACCCAATAAGTAGATATATTTTCATATCATAATATTAAGTGACACAGAAGTACAGTAAAGTACTGACAATTAGGACTGTGTACTTACTGAGATTTTCAAAGAGAACATATAAAGCCAGTATGTATTTATTTTTTGTGTTGTTCGTGTTCCTGACTTAATGTTTCAGAACCCGTTCCATGCACAATAGAGTGAAAAAGTTCTTGCTATTTGTTTAGCATGGATTTCATGCTTTCTGTTTAAGAAACTATGACATTTCATAGTTTGTAGAGCCTAATTCATAGAATTTCTTGGAATGTGTTTAAAAGAAATACATAGAGGCTATGTTGACTGCGAGAGCCCCGGTAAGCATAGTTTTATTTGATGATAACCAGATATTTTTATAAATAATAAAACAAGACAATATTTCTGTTTCTTTCCTTTAATAAGGAATCAGATAATGATTCCTGCCCAGCTTGCACTTTAATCTAAACAATAAAATTTTACCAACAAACATTAACATGTTAACAGTCCCTAGTAACACAGCTTTCATGTCTAATAATTTGTGTGCATGTATGTTTTTATTGACTGCCTTTGCGACACTAACAGCTCCTTCTAAACCATCTTGCACTGACCCTCATCCTTACAGAACGGACTCACGCCTCTCCATGTTGCTGCTCATTATGATAACCAGAAGGTGGCGCTGCTGCTTTTGGACAAAGGGGCTTCTCCCCATGCCACAGCCAAGGTGAGAGCCCACCAACAGGCCCCTTTACTGGACGGTTGCGTGCTTTCTGCTGATATCTGTCTCTAGAACTCAGAAAAAAGTGAATAATTGAACTTCACTCAGATGCCTTTCACTTACTCATGTTTACATGATGTCACATTTGACTGAAGTAAACTCATTACATTATGTTTCTGTCTCTTGTTCAATCAAACCCTGACTTCTGTCTTTTCCTGTGATTTGTAGAATGGATACACTCCTCTCCACATTGCTGCAAAGAAGAACCAGATGGAAATAGCCACCACACTCCTACAGTACGGAGCAGAGACCAACATCCTGACCAAGCAGGGAGTGACCCCTCTTCACCTGGCATCTCAGGAAGGACACAGTGACATGGCTGCCCTGCTGCTGCAGAAGGGGGCGCAGGTCAATGTGCCCACTAAGGTAGCTGGCCACAAACATGCAGTTTTCAGCTATTACTGGTCAGGGTTGGAAATGATCTTTTTTGCCGACCTGCCACTGTAGCTAATGGATTCCAAAATCTACCAGCCACTTGATTTTTATGGAAACCGATTGTTTTAATCAGCAGTGTGTAACCTCAAAATGAAAATACAGGTAAATAGACTTAAAAATGAAGACTGACTTACATTGCCATTCGTAATCTCGAAGTGATTTTCTTTTTTTCGTGATTGCATGAGCATTGCTAAACAGTATGCTCATCTTCTCAAGACTGGTAAGTGCCTTCATGGCAGCTGCCTAGTCCAGAGCTGAATTCCCTATAATGTCTTTCTTATGGATGTGGCATTTGGATGATCCGTGGTCTTTTATGGCCTCTAATTTCACATTTTTAGTCTCAATAATGAAACTAATAGTTCTTTTATTGACATCTGAAGTGTGTTGATGGCATACCAAACAGAACATTGTCTGGCTTGTCTCTTCGTAAACTAACCAATCACAGGACTCTCCATTGTCAGCTACTCTCTACTTTTTATTAAAAAATGTTTTTTTGACCTTCGCCTCTTTGACCTGTGTCTCCTCCTGGGAGATTTTCTCTGCAGCCCTCTTGAGCTCAATGTTTAATAAAAACATTTTCTCATTTTTTTTGTTTGTTTGTTACAACATTAGCCTAGGCTTCTTGACCTGAGGTGATTTTTTTGACTGTTTCACGCTAGTTAGCGTTCTATGCTCAAGTTGCCTTGGTAACCCTGTCTCTCGTTGTTAAAGTGTCTGAGCGAAACAGCCTCACAATTCAGTCTGCATTGTGCAACATGACAAATCGCTCTGTTACAATTGCATTATTTGTTCATATATGCTATTTTTATTTGCCACCGTGGCTGGTAGGTTGAGAAAGTTTACCCACCACAAGACATTTGGCAGGTGGCGGGTGGGGCAGTTGTGGGCTGGAGGTTAGGGAACCAGCCCTGTTAACCCCCACAAGAAATTTGGCGGGTGGCGGGTGGGGCAGTTGTGGGCTGGAGGCTAGGGAACCAGCCCTGTGACCGGAAGGTTGCCGTTCTTGATTCCCTCGGCTGACAGTCTGTGACTGAAGTGCCCCTGAGCAAGGCACCTAACCCACAATTGCTCCCCGGGCGCCGTGGATAGGGCTGCCCACCGCTCCGGGCAAGTGTGCTCACTGCCCCCTATGTGGAGGTCTAATTCCACAGTGTGCAAACACAGTTGGCTGATGGTTCTGAATATGAATGTAATTTCCAACCCTTTTACTGGTTTTGTATCAAGTTGAATTTCTCTTGATTTTTGTTTGTAATGAGAGGTTAATGTAGTGTAAGCATTGTTTAAGTTTCAAAACATACCGTTAACTACCCAGTCCTTACAGTCCATATATCAAAATTAAGTGGCATAAACATATCATTTTGAATTCTTCATGAACACGTTTATATATGACAGTCACTCAGTCTACCGTAGTTTAGCTCGGCCCATAATATTGAAGTGATAAGGAGTGTTGTTACTGCATACAGCCTATAGCAAAGTTATTGGAGTGGAAGACGTGGGGAAGATGATTCAACATTTTGCTGTTCTTGGCTGTCAGGAGCAAATGTATCTTTTTTTCTGATTTCAGTCAGAGCTTAAAAATTTTTGGCGTTCATTTCAGTCCAGGCTGCTTTTTGAACAAAGCATAATACATAACAGCCACTAAGAACAGACCTTACATATATAAATCATAAATACAAACATGCATGCTTTATAAGTGGACTTTAGGGGTAAAAATAAAAAAAGAAAATGGACAGAATATAGACCCTTGAAGCCACTTAAGAAGTGTCCGAGGTTTGTTGTAAATTGGCTATCAGGACATGTTTAAAAGCTTTAATTATGTGTGAAATTTCCAATTCCAGTTGTAAGCTGGTAGTAGTAATCAGCTCTGCATAAAGGACTAACCAAAAAGTCTAAAATTCTAAAAAACCTCTAAGCTCAAACATGAACAGACTTCCTCTTTCTCAAAATATCCTGCTTTGGGCAAATTAGTTAATCATGTTCGTAACGCATACATGTAAAATAAGTTTAGACTGTACAACCGATATTGTTTACAGATACAGATGTTTTTTGGCTAATTGACTTAGCCCAACAGTGTTTGAGTTCTCTGGGAAGGAGGAACACAGTTGTGCAATTTGTTAGTGATTTTCTGCTGAGGCTCAACATTTTAAGCACTGATTAGTGCCATGTGTTGACTTAAGGAGGACTGTTATTACCCATTTATTTTTTGTATTTCCATCTGTTGCCAGTAGCTTCCTACCTGACTCTCTGTGGTGTTTGTTTACTGAATTGTGCAAATCAGTGCTTGATAAATGCTACTTGTGTGAGCATGGCTCACAACTGATTGGTTGCATTGTTGTTTTTTTCCCCCCTTTACAGAGTGGACTTACTGCTCTTCATCTTGCTGCCCAAGAAGACAAAGTTGGTGTCGCTGAGATTTTAGTTAAACATGGTGCCAGCCTTGACCAGCAAACCAAAGTAAGGGAATTTTGAGGAGTGAAGATGCATAAAGTGTTTTTTAGTGCCTAGTAAAATGGCTTGCCTCCAGATTTCGATTTAGTTGCGTAAAATGAAACACTAAGTTCTGAGATTATGGTAGTGTTATTGCCCTTGATTTATTAACTTTGGAAACGGCCTATCAGAGCATGTCTAAAGAGTTTAATTATGTGTGAAATCACCAATGCCAATCATGAAGTAAGCTGGTAATAATACTCAGCTCCATATAAATGATTAATCTAAGACTGTAAAGAATTATGAAACCCACTCTGGCAAGCTTCATACCACTACAACTTACGCAGACTTTCTTGTTCTAAAAATCCTGATCCTGATTGGCACAAATTACTTAATCATATTCATAACTGACAGATGCATTCCTATTAAATAAGCTTGGATTGCACATGTACTAAGTTTATACTGTACATGCCCTCTTACAGTACTATTATCATTCACAGTGTGTGCTTTTTAATATTTAAACTCATTTTTATAGTTGAGTTTATTTTTTAAGAAAAAAAATCATGTTTAGTTTATTTGGTAAGACTTTACTGTAGAGCAGTGTTCATAAGGCTACATGACACCCATATAAGCTTATGAATTGGCTTGAACATTTATGAACATGTTTTAGGTGTAGGTGTAATGTTGCTTATGTAGCCCCGCAGTAAAGTTTTACCATTTATTTTTACCCAGTTTTCCTCCCCAGTTTAATCATGTGAAATTCCCACCTGCTTGCTAGCTCTCCCCATCACATGATGCCACCAAGCAGGGAGGGTGAAGGTTAGCATGTGTCCTGCGAGTCGGTGCCAATTCTGTTACATTAGCGAACAGACACCCCTGTTGACAAGCATCACTTTGGATAATGGGGGCAGGGGGAGGACCACCCCATCAGAAAGAGTGAGGCCAGTTGGCCTCTTGGACTCCAGGTCACGGATGTCTGTGGCATCACTGGGGATTGTCTGATAGAGATTTATTTTCAATGAACTGTTATGTTCACTATTTATTCAGGGATTACAAAAACAAGTGGTATATCTCCTCTTTTCTAGCTGGGTTACACGCCACTGATTGTCGCCTGTCACTACGGAAATGCCAAGATGGTCAACTTCCTTTTGAAAAGCAATGCCAGCGTCAACGCCAAAACAAAGGTACATTAGTCATAAACCTCAAAGAGAAACATGGTTAACCTCATTATTGTGTTCTGAATGTAATTTGTGTGTGTTTTTTTGTTTAGAATGGATACACTCCTCTTCACCAAGCAGCGCAACAGGGCAACACACACATCATCAATGTTCTGCTCCAGTATGGAGCTAAACCCAACGCCATCACTGTGGTGAGTAGATGACCCCCCACTCCCCACACAGACAGCCCCATACACAGCACCACACACGCACTCATACTTACAGCAGACAATGATGGAATCTCTCAACCTGTATTGCAGAATGGAAACACAGCGCTTGCCATTGCTCGTCGCCTTGGTTACATCTCAGTGGTGGACACATTGAGAGTGGTCACAGAGGAAATCATCACCACAACAACAGTGAGTCTTGTTCAAAATCAGCACAATATTCTGACTTACAAATACTGTGTGTTGATACATTAATACATATATGTACATATATACACATTTTATTAATGTGTATATGAATAATATTTCTCTGGAAGGCATTGGCTTTGGTATTGGTATTAACAGATATGTTAATGAAAAATATCAAATATTGTTATTGGCATACAATTCTTGTCTCAGTGCATCCCTAGTTGTTTTATTTTAGTTTTTAAGTTTGTGTCTAAGTCTCAGACCTCATGCGATTCAGCTTAAATATGATACTTAAGGAAATGTTTCAGTACATTGCCAAATCACAAATTTCACCACATCTCAATTCAGTTTGAAAATTTTGGTATGATTCAGAATTATTATGCAGTACTGTGGAAAAATCTTATTTTACACAGTGAAACATCTTCCATATTATGAGTGGCCTGCAACATGATTAACATGCTTGACGGTTACATGAAGTACTTCAAAACTTCAAAAGCAATTCAATTTGCATGCAGTACATTCAGTTACTCAACTAGATCATCTTCATATAATTTTTCCTGCCGTTGTTGCCATTTCTTTTTAATATGTATCTCTATATTGCTCAAATGGTTCTTTACTGCATTTTAATGTTGTGTGTATATTAAGCCTTTGTTAATTAATGTCTAAGCCATTGTGGTATAGCCTATTAGATATCTCACTCAAACTACATCTCCCCTTCTGTGATATTATTCATGTTTTGGTAGTCAAACCAAAAAAAAAAACAACTCTATGTAAAATTAGGGAGCATCAAGCAAGGAGAAAATTAGTCTAGCTGGTGGCACAAGCAGCTGTCCAAACAGCTATTGGTGTTAGCTGGCTAGTTAATGCAGTCAGTTACAGAAATTTTAGCTTCGGGAACTCACACTTGTTGTCATAGCCCAGGAAACTGGCAAAATGAACATCTACCAAACGTAGGTCAGTCAGGGGATCCAAAATACCATCATCTCTTTCATTTTTGGGTCTTTTGATCCAGTGAAATCAATGGTTTAAAAGTAAGTTGTTCAACATGATCATGTGATTTGCTATCAGCATTTTGATTAGCTGTTTCATTATACTTTTTACGAAGTCAAAATGCTTGCAACTGTTGCAGCTAAGTTTCAATTGCATTGCAAGACACTTTAGATTAAGCAACCGTAGTGCAATTTAGTTTCATGTAGGTTTTAAGGAAATAAAATTGCATGAAACTTTTGCCATGTAAAGCCAGCCTTAGGCAGCCAAGAAAGTTGTCTTGGCAGTATGCAAATACTCTTACTAGTGAAAGTACACTATGTAATATTACAATAAATACAAAAACTGTATGAAATAAACACAGGAAAATGTTTTTTAAGTTTTAAAAAGTTGAAAACGTTACACATTTGTTAAATTCTATTAGCAGCACATCTGATTTAATTTAATGAAGGCTTGATTAGCTTGATTATCATTCTCTCAGATGCCTGTGTGTATGTTTTAAGAATATGTGTATGTTTGAAAATGTATAATTTTTAGTTGATATAATCAGTAACGATTGTAATCAGTATGATTGATGATTGCGTTTCTGTATAGACTGTGACAGAGAAACACAAGCTGAATGTTCCAGAGACCATGACTGAAGTCCTTGATGTGTCGGATGAGGAAGGTGAGTTTTACAGTCAGTCAGTAACTCTGCAATCACTTAGTCTTTTTCCCCAATGTACAGTATTTTCACACGTCTATAAATTACAGACAATGTAAAGTACGATTTATTAGAAATTAATTAATATTATCAATATGAAATATCATGTAGCGCTCAAGCAGGCTGATGGTGCTATTTCTGACGACTCCTTCGACGAAGGTACACAGAACCTCTTTTTTGGTGCTTGATTGCTGTGCAGAGTCACCGAATGAATTGATGTGTGAATTAAGTAGCTTAAATGAAGTAAAGGATTTAACCAAGCACTATGTTATGGTGTACAAAGCATGCAGTGCATGGAGTTTGGAACGTTTCTCTCTTAAATATGACTCACAAGCAAAGTTTTGAGGTGTTTGAACTCACAGTGCAGTATTTATGTTGGAGTGACTCTTGTTGTCTTGCTAGATTTAAAGATTTAAACGTTTAGTTTAAAGCAGTTTCTCTTGGCCAAAATACTACTGGCTGGTAATACATTAATTACATAGAAATGTATCTGTTTGTTAAAAATTCAAAATGAATGATGGTAAATACACAGCATACAAAACTCATCTTGGTTTTAATTGTGAATGTGCAGGCTAAGGTTATAAGGACTGAAATGCTAGATACCAGTGAAAAAAGACTGTATCTTGTGGCATTTAGATTAGAGCAGAACCAAAATGAGCATACATTTTTTTAAACTACTGTATGATCCCACTTTATTACAATAGTCCATAATAGATTTTCTGCAACTTCTCAAATGATCAAACTGTTGGGTTAGAGTTGAGTTTTGAGGTTAAGGTAAGGATAATAGTAAGTATGAATGGGTAGATATTTAGTTGAATATAAGTGAAAGACAAGGTAAACATCTACAGAGCATGTACAGGGGGCTATCCAAATTAACTGTCACCTACTGCTTTAGACTCAGATCTCTCCAGCAGGTGCTCTACACCAAAGTATTCTATATTCTTTTATAAATATCCATTATTGTTCTACTCTCTAGGCAGCCAGTATGCTATTGACAGCAGAACTCCACTATCAGGCTACAGTATGTTTCGTATTTACTGTCAGTATTCCCTGCTGCTTTCTGTCAAGCCTATAAGCCCCTGCTGGTCACACATGGCAACAGCAGCAGTGGTGCTTTACTGTCATTATTACTGATTATCTCAGCACTCAGCTGCTGAAGCCATAAGCTATGTAGAGCTCTGTGGTCGTAGAAGCTTTGCTGATACATGCAGGCTTACTTTAATGGCACAAAAGAGAAAGCGTGGGCTTTCAGTTTAGTGTACTGCTGTGTGTGTGTGTGTGGGTGTGGGTGCACAGTTGCGTACATTACCTACCTACCAGAATACCAGTGTCTGAATGCTCTAAGCTTTAGAGCAAATAACCCCAGTTGTGTGTGTGTGTGTGTGTGTGTGTGTGTGTGTGTGTATGAAGACACTTTTCTGAGTGTATGCTGTTTTTGCTGTAAATATGAAGAATATGAGGACCTTCAGGTAATATGTTACCCTCCCTGTGTTGTAGGTGATGACACTATGACAGGTGATGGAGGAGAGTATCTGAGAGCAGAAGACCTGAGAGAACTGGGAGATGACTCATTGCCTGGCCAGTACCTGGATGGCATGAATTACCTGCGTTTCAGTCTGGAAGGTGGACGATCTGACAGGTACATAGCAAACAAGCTGCATTATGAGATACACAGAAAATCTTAAAGGGAACTTAAAGGCAGATTCCATAGATTTTTCAAATTTCTGCATGATTAAATGGTAAAGATTGAAATTGACACATTGTTTTTATTATTTTTAAACTGGAGTTGTTTAGATGTGAGCAGTGTAATTGAGTGCAATTTGATGTGACATGGTGCCATGTAGAAAAACCTATTGTTTCTCTCTCTAGGAACCAGGGGTCACAATGTCTACAGCACGTTTAGTCATTTATTTGCTATCACAAACAACCAGTGAACCCTCTTGTGTCTTCTGAGTTTTTATATGTAATGTTGATAATGGTAAAATAGTAATAAATCTAAAACAATATGTTTTCTTTGGGTAATATCTTGCCTTACAACACCCTGCTTGTACCTCTCTGCCATAAATATACGTCTTTAGACATCTGGTTCCTACCATCACCACTGTATACAATTCACTTTCTCTAAAATGGATAAATTCACATCAAAACAACTCTGAATGACTTTGTGTACGTTTTAATTATGCAACATTTTGAAAAATCTGTGTAATTTTCCTTTAAAGCAACTAACTCTTTACTAACATGACAAACTCCTTTTGAAAGTCGTTAAAAAAATTAGCTTCTAGCATACAAAGCTACTGGCTCTTCTTCTATCGATGAAGACGATTCTGATTAACCTCTTCCCACTAACCCCTCATTCCTTTGTTTCCTCTGATGCTCACACAGTCGCTTGCACAGGTATGAGGGCCGAACGCTTTTATACTTTACATTTTACTTTTGAAAGTATTTATGTTTTCCAGAGTTCTTGGGTAGGATAAGGTTTTTAACCAGCTCTTGGTAGCTCATTGGTTGTTCTGTGTATTGTTTCAGTACGGACAGGTCCTACACACCCACCCATCATGGCTATTACTCTCCAAAACACGACGGGTTGGGGGACGACACAATCCGCAGTTACCAGGTAAAGTCCAGAGAGGTTCATCTGATACATTTTGCTTGTTGATTTACTCAGGTTTTTGCAGCGAGTCTCTATAGAAGTCATGATAGTTTATAAAGGTTCCCCACGGGTGATTTATTTATTTATTTATTTAGAGTTATTTAGCAGAGTTTTTAATGTGTAAATAACCTACTGTGGTCAGGCATTTGAAAACGTGTGCTTGCAAACATTAGCAACCTGCCACATTTATCTAACTGCAGTCATAGTGTAAAACTATGAAAACTTTGAATGGACAGTGCCAAAATAATTGTGGCCGTCAAAATTACCATGGCGATGGGATGAGGGACATTAACACAGCGTTTTCCTAGTTTGGTCCTTCCTGCCTTACCCAGTAGTGCAGGCTGAAGCCCTGCTGTTCACATGCTGTATGATACTATTATATAGTGCACAGTTGAAGCCATTTCATTCAAAAAGAGCTTTTGACCTGAACCTGCCATTTGCATGATGAAAGTAAATAAAAACAAATCTCTTTAATTGCAGTTAACTACAGAAAATATTGTGATTAATTGCTTTGACAGACTAATATAATTAAAATATATACTTTTAGATTTTGATCATTTATTTGTCACTAATTTGAAATAATGGATGAGGTTAGGGGGAATGTTGTCAAGGCTAGTGACTCGATTTTTTTTCTATTGTGAACTCTGCAGATCGTTAACTGTGGTTACTGCACCTTTCTGTTTGTAGGTGTCTTCTCTTGCTAATGAGAGGGACTCATACAGACTGAGCTGGGGAACAGAAAATCTGGACAATATAGCGCTTTCCTCCAGTCCTGTTCACTCTGGGTACGGAAACTACACGCACACACACACTCTCACTCACAATCGCAGTGCTACACTCTGTCAGCTGGATACTTTCATTACTGAAAATGTGATTATTTTGGTGCCTCATGACTGATCTCTGCTCATGTAGAAGTTTTGGCTGGAAAACACAGAGTTCCACAAACAGGATTTAATGCTACCAATATCCGTGTGTGCCTGCCTTTCTGACTGTATTAGATTGCATTGTAGACAGATAATCACATTTGATCATTTTGGCAGTGGGTCAGTTACCCTAGTAATACATCAGATGAGTGTTCTGTTTATATACTGTAAATACCGTACTAGAAATAAAGTAGGAAGTTTAAGGAAGACCTTTAAATCTTTGCCACACTGGCAGTTAAAGAAATGGAAAAAATTACATTTGAATAGTGTAGCAAGATGAACGTTATAACTCTTGGCTTACAAGGGGTTAAGGTTCATTTTGTTTTAGTAAGGATGGGCTGCATTATTATTGTTCAACTATTATTTGCAACCTTGAAAGAGCCTTCTTCCATATCTGGGTAGTGTGCACCAGTATGAAAATCAATTTTTTCTTTTTTTTTCTGCTTGTATTTATTGTTGTGTCTTTTGACAACTTTGTGCGTTATATCAGTAGTTCAAAGCGCATTTTAATGAAGAATTTTCTCAAATCAGTTTCTCAGTTTTTTCTGTTTTATTTCTGATCATTATTCTCTTGCACTCTCACTTTCCCTCTCTGCTTTTTTCTCTTCTTTTTCTCCTTTTGTTCTCTCTGTCTGTCTGATGGGTATTTTGTTCTCTCTCCAGCCGTTCCTCTCCGTGCCATGACCATGACACCAGCAGGTGACTGGCTGTACTTTGACATTTGACCTGTTACACCCTTTTCCTCTTTCAGTGTGCACTCCATTAAAGGGGGAATACCTGCAATACCTGTTCTGCCTCTCGGCCCTCTCAAGCATAATTTGAAAAGATATAAAACTAGTTACAACAACCGTCACTTTTATCTTCTACCCTGAGCTGCCCAAAAGCATTGCAGGTTAAAGCCACAGTGTTTGACAGTTGATATATTTATCATTTCACCAACGTGTCTTGCACCAGAAACTAACAAATGTGTTGCTTGTTTTTCACTTCTTTTATATCCCTTGTTGGATGCTATTAAGGTTGTTCAGCACTTGCTGTTTTGTAACCTGTCCCTTAAAACTAACTGTTATGCTGACGTTTACCAAGAATTTAGTGTTGCTACAGTGCACATACTAGGTCTTGTTATGTCTTGTGATCGCCGTCATTTGTCCACTGAATTTGAGTCATTTAAAGCCGGATTTCACAAAGTTACTCAAATATTAGTCATTTGACACTAGTATTTCAAGTCAAGATAATGTACCATGATCTAATATGTATGCTGTAATTTACTGTGAAAAAAACACATTGTTATATATATATTATATATGTGGGTCATTCCATGCCAACTCACCTTGTGCCTGGCATGTTATGGCATGGATTTCTCTGAAAAAAAGTCAAGCATAAACTCTTTTTTAGTTATTAGTATTTTAGGTTTTCCCCATCAGGTGCTAAATCTAAAAAAACGGAGGTTAGGTGCTGACAGAATGACAGAACTGAGCTGAAATTTGAATTGAGTGCAGTTACAGCACTAAAAATAATATTCATTTTGAATCAGCTGGTATAATGTTAATAAAAATGTTGCTTTAAAGTGAAATATTATTCCTAACAATGCATTTATAAACAGTTCAAATTTCAGCTTTCATTAGTTTCAGTCATTCTGTATTTAAGATGCAGCATTTTACATGGTTACCTGAATTAAGCAGAAGTGCTTGAATTTTTCGAGACATGACCTGCTAGGTCCTAGGTAAGCTTGTGTGGAATGACTTACATACAGAATTTTAGATTTGTAACACTGGATAATTAGTGTGACACGTTCACGTCAATAAAATGGGTATGAACATGGGAAATTAAAGCATTTCACAACATTTGCTGGGTGTTGAATGCTGTACAGGCCATACATTTTCCAGGATATTTACAAATCGTGATGTCATGTTTGTACACCCTACTCTGTCTGTTGTGCTTTCTGTAAATCATTTTTTTTACATCCAGTATCCTTGATAATCCTGCTGGTGTGCCATTACAAGACAACTCAAGCATGCTGGGGAATGTTTTCACTGTTGTGTGTGTGTGTGCTTTTTCACTGTAACATCACATCAAAAAGTGTCTGGGTGTGTGTTGCGAGTGCAGATAAACCCTGTCACTTTGAGTTTCCTCTTATTCACACTGTCTGCTGTGTGTGTGTGTGTGTGCATGTAGAAGAAAAACACACAAAAAATGTGAAAATGGAAATAAAATTAAGCAGCTAGCTTTAATTTATGAAAATTCAGTATGGGAGTAGGTATTGTTACTGCCATCTCAAAACCTCACCTGAAATCTTTCATTTTCGTAGTTTAGATATCCTAGTTGCTCTTTACATTGTGTGGAAATTTCATTATGAACGGGCCAATAGAAATGGTCCAAAGTTAAAATAAAATTAATAAAATCTTGTTTTATTCGTTTTTTTCTTGTCCTATAAATTTACCAGTTCTGAGATATGAGGTTTTGTTATGACAGTGACAATGTATTTATGCAGATTAACCTCAGCAGAGCCTTGTCTGTTTATCAGCACTGACTCAGAGTTTTTTCATCTTGTTTGCAGCTTTCTTGTTAGCTTCATGGTGGATGCCCGTGGTGGTGCAATGCGAGGTTGCCGTCACAATGGCCTGCGGATCATCATTCCACCTAGGAAGTGCAGTGCCCCAACACGAGTGACCTGTCGCTTGGTCAAACGCCATCGCCTGGCTACCATGCCCCCTATGGTGGAAGGAGAGGGTTTGGCTAGTCGACTTATTGAGGTTGGACCCTCTGGTGCCCAATTCCTTGGGTAAGCTCTTTTAATTTTTCAGCAATAGTAGGATGAAAAAAATTATGTTGCAAGCTGACCTGTTTTACTTGACAGTGCTTTTGTTGTTTTGCCTAAAATCTGAATATTCACCTCTTCTTTTCCCCTGTGGAAAAAAAAATAATGCTTCTCTTGCTTATCTGCGCTTAACTTAACACTTTTGCAGTAACACTCAAGACTTTTGTTTGCTTCACAGCTTGCATTAATGAAATTTCTGAGCTTTGAATAACCATTCTGCAGAACTCCCCACTTATAAGAATGCTCCATGATTGATTTGATATGTTTTTTAATTATTGTAGTTAACTAAATGATTAGTAAAACATTTCTTGTTCTTTTATAGATTAAAATGTGTTACTCCACTTTAAAGGGATTCTCCAGTGTTTTTCAAACTGATGTTTACCTGCCAGCATACTGTCAATTACCTTGGAGAATTTTGAAGCATTGCCCTATACTTAGTAAAACAGAACAGGAAACAGGCACACTTATAATACAAGTCAGTGGGCAGTTGCTTCAAATTTTGTCTGAGGTAATCAGCTTTAGATGGGGATTAGGTTGAAAAATACTGGTATTACTTTAATGTGCTACTTCAGTAACGGCAAATCACCTTTTTATAAAGCAGTATGAAAAAAATGACTTTTCTGAAATCAATTAAGTGTGGAAAACATTCAGTCACGGAGGCTTTACCACCAAAAAGAGGCAGTAATGAAGCCGAGGACTCCACCCCCAAACTGTTTGTCATCTGTGCTCTCTTTTTCCACTGCTTCTATTGGATGACAGTAAACTCCATCTCCCCACTGCCCCGCCCCCTCTGAATGAGGGTGAGAGTTTGGTTAGCCGCATTCTTCAGCTGGGGCCACCAGGGACCAAATTCCTGGGGTAGGAGTGATGCATATGAAACAATCCATGGATGCTGGTCCCATACCCTTTCTTCTCCTTCTGTCCTTTATTTATCATTTTATCTTTCCCCACTCGCCCATGATTCAGTGTGTGTTTGTGTTCAGAGTAAGACTGTGTTAGTGTATTGTGCCTTATTGTATACCTTTTGGGTTTTCTTTGGTCTTTTTGTGTTTTACATTTTTGCCTTTGCATCATGAGTTATGTCTAAACCTTTGACAAAACTGCAGGAGCTTGTGCAGAGCATGGCAAGCTTTGAAATCATTAAAAAAGCACATCTTTGCTATTTATTCAGTTAAAATTGATTTAGGACTTTCTCTGTTTTCTTGTCCACCTATACATATCTTAGACCTGGACATCCTTCAGCTGATTCTGTGTGTTTTGAAGTAAGAACCAAAATATCTGGAGTAAAACTCCACCCAGCGCTCTCATTTTCCATTCATAGTAATCTGCAGTGCAGAGTTTCAGTTTCATACAGTGTTTATACAGTTAATTTCTTAACACCCAGAATCAAGCAACACATGACCCATGTCCATGTGAAATATGTGAACTTTTATGAAAGACTTTTACTGTAGTTTTGACATGTTTGGACAAGTCATGAAGGCAAAATGATAATAGCACACACTGCCCTCCAGAATTAATGGCACCCTTGGTAAAGATGAGCAAAAAAGGCTTTGATAAAATGCTGTTGTTTATCAGTTTGATTGGACATTAGAAAATGTGAAAACATCTAAAATAAAATATAACTTTTCAGTGAAGTAATTTAATTAAAAAAATATCAAGAACACATTCAATTATTGTTACCCTTCAAATTTCTTTTGGGCAAAAATGAATCAACATTGTCTCATTTTTAACCTTTTAAACATACAGTGTTTAAAATTTGAAGATACCTGTTTTACTGGGGTCTAAATATCAACAAAAAAAAACAAAACATCTGAAAATGCCCATCTCCAATATTAAGCCAAACTTGGAGATTTTTGAGAAGTTTCAAACTTTCCTGCCTGGAAGAAGATGAAAGTGTATTTTACTTCCAATATGCATGGTGAGGATAACTCTTTGAGGAATAAAACTTTTTCACAGTTGGACAACTGCAGGAGTAGATTTCATCTGTTGTCACAGTCTCCAAAACTAGTTAGATGCCACCTAGATGCTAAACTTTTGGAAGACTTGTTAGGAGAAAGCCTTTGCTGTCACCAAAGTACAAGCATAAGTTACTGAAATTCACAAAACACTACTGGGACTTGAGTTCTGTGGTCATATAACACAGAAATAGTGCTTTTTGACAACAAACACCAGAGGTTTGTTTGGTGTAAAAGAGTCTAGTCCCCACAGTGAAGTATGGTGGTGGTATGATATGTGGTGTTGTGGTGCTGTTTTAATTTCATAGTCTCTGGTAATGTTGTTAGGAGACACTATATCAAAGATGGAAATACCAGGACATTTTAGGTCAAAATCAAAAGGGTAGTAGTTTGGTATTACAGTTGGACAGTGGTCCAAAGCATCCGCAATGACCACAGAATCACGCTTGCTGTAGCCACCTGACCTAAACTCTGTTAAACTTGTGGGATGAACTGAAGAGAAGAGTCAACGAGTAAGGACCAAAACTCTGAAGGATCTGAAGTTGGATGTTGCACGAAGTATTTGATGAAGGGGTGGCAATAATTTTGGGGAATGTTTAAAAAAAAACATTTTTTTCCTTTAAATTATTTTTGATAACCGCGAAATAATACATTTCTCATATTTTCTCAGTAAGATCAAGTGTTTGTGTTTTTTTCCCTCTCATCTGTATGAAGTGTGCCAATAATTCACTCTACATCAGGCCTGTTCAGCGCTACTCCTGCAGACCTACCCTCATACAAAGCTTAATTCCAAACCTGACTGAACACCCTGTAATTTTCACATGTTCCTGCCCTCTTTGATTAGGTGGGTCATGTATATTAGAGTAAAAATGGAACTCTGTAGGGTGAGTAGATCGGCAGGAACAGCGTTTAGCACCTCTGGCAAATGTGCTAGTCTGGCATGGCCATTTATTTATAGCAGTCTCATTTTAAGCTAGTCCCAACTTAGCTCCCATGGTTAGACTTTTGTAGTTTTTTTATGTTTATCCTCAATATTGGTGATTAATTTTATCATTTTTAATGGTCGTAAAACTTGAACTCTTACTTATGATGTTGAAACATCCAAGGAATGCAGAAAAACAGATGCGGTATAACACGTTTACGCAAAGATAGACACTCGGTAAGTCCTCCAAGGACTATCTTTTATGGTTCATTTCAGTGAAACCCTATTTTTTCTGTGGACTTTCAGACCAGTGATTGTGGAGATCCCTCACTTTGCTGCTCTGAGGGGGAAGGAGAGAGAGCTGGTGATTCTGCGCAGTGAGACAGGAGAAAGCTGGAAAGAGCATCACTGTGAATACACAGAGGAGGAGCTCAATCAGATCCTCAATGGCATGGACGAGGGTAAAATTTTCATTGTTTTTTTTTAGGCATCTAAAGATATTGTCGTGATGTGAATTTCTTTTTTTTAACAGTATAATCGTGTACCATATACAATTTGACTAATATATTTCTCATATCAATTTCATTTTTTTACTCTGTGATCAAGTGTGACCTACAAACTCTTGTCATTGCCTACTCCATATCTTTCAAAGATTTCTCATGTCAGTGTCCTGTTTCCTCAGAGTTGGACACTCCAGAGGAGCTGGAGAAAAAGCGCATTTGCCGCATAATCACCCGGGACTTCCCACAGTACTTTGCAGTGGTGTCCCGGATCAAACAGGACAGTAATTTAATTGGTCCAGAGGGTGGGATCTTGAGCAGTACAGTGGTACCACAAGTCCAGGCTGTTTTTCCAGAAGGGGCACTCACCAAACGCATTCGAGTTGGTTTACAGGTAGCTACAAAGACTGAATGATGCTTTCTGTAATAAGGTTGCAGATCATATTTGCATGTTTGGAAAAGTTTTCCTTGTCACCAAATCACAGACTTATATGCTGCTTTGTGTGGATGAGAAACAGACATTAGGATGTAATTGACACGCATACTTTCATATGTGAAGATGCACTAAATTCAGATCCCAAGTATGGAACTGATCCATTCATTGATATAACAGTGTGGGGCAGAGGTGAGCTGGCCTCTGTGTGGATAGCAGCCTCTAGCTCTAGTTGCAGTAGACTTTAATCACAGAATTTCTTTATCCTTATATATAGACAAAGTTTTTCTCCAAGCTGAAATATTAGTTTGGGCTGACTTTATTGAAATATGGTCTTGTAGCCCTGAATAGGATATAGTAAAAGATGTAAAACTCCAGTGTGCTGTTTCTTCTTTGTCGTTTTATTGCTGAGGAAACCAGCGAGAGGACTAATAATCAAAAGCAGGTGTTGGTTTAAGGAACATTTAACATTATTTTTTTTTTACATTTCTATAGAAACATATGCAAGTTATTTATTGACCCAGACTGAACTGTGAAGCATTCAGGTACACATGAATTATTTACATATGAAAAAGTTGCCTATAAATGAATTTTTAATCAATTGCAATTGCAGTTCTTGAAGGTACTTGTGTAGAGAAAGTAAAAATGTTATTGAAAATAATTCTGGGTGATACTACTTCAGCCATGCGCGTTTGACGCCACATATGCATGACAATTGCAATTACCCCAGGTAATTCCCTTTACTCAACAAATACACTTTGTTGCTTTCATTTGTTTTTCTTTTGTTTTTCATTTGTCTTCTTTTGATAATCGCTAGTGTTAATTAAAATTGAATTAACCTTTCAATGCCTTGTACAAGCTTGTATTCAAGAGTTTTTCTTTTCCTGTTACACTTGCTTCTTTCTCGACTAGGCTCAGCCTGTGAACATGGACGTGGTGAGGAAAATCTTAGGAAACAAAGCTACTTTCAGTCCTATAGTCACTCTGGAACCCCGTAGGAGGAAGTTCCATAAACCTATCACCATGACCATCCCTGTCCCCAAGACTTCCACTGACCCTGTCCTCAATGGCTTTGGAGGAGATACGCCGACACTCCGATTGCTATGCAGCATCACGGGTGAGGAATCTCACATACACACCTTAGAAACTGAAAGACTAGCTTAACCAGATATGGATAATATGATAGGTGTTATAATTTGACTTCACACAGTCTATTGGCTACATTTATTTCTGAAAAAGCTCTCCTTTTTCTATTTAAAGTACATTACTGAAGCTGCTCTATGTATACCGTCATCTAGGTGGAACCACGCCAGCTCAGTGGGAGGACATCACTGGAACCACACCATTAACTTTTATCAATGACTGCGTGTCATTCACCACAAATGTGTCTGCAAGGTAGGTCCTCAAAACGTATTTATTTTGATACTGCTCAGATTTTTTTGGAATGGATATTGAATGACTTACTGAACCTTACTGAAACAATCTTACACTATCAGGCAAAAGGTTCTGTACAGGTATATTTTTGTTCATCAAGGTACAAACAATGTAAATGTACCCTCAACAGGACAACAATGGTTTTAATGTCCAATTGTGTACCTTAAATAAGATTCTCCCAGAAGAAAGATACATATTTGTACCATTTCATGACCTGATGTTTTAAAGCAGAACAAAAAAATAAAAAAGCCTGAAGCCAAAACTGGGTGTATGGAGTCAATGCAACAATGAAATATAATACAAGCACGTTCCCTAATTGAAGGTACTGAAGACGTACTCTTTATGGTACACACCTAAGTAAAAGTTTAGTAGCTTTTTATGGGAGAGTGTATTTGTAAGCCTGAAAATCAAAGTAGGGTTTACTCACAATGTCCTCCACCTTTCACTGTTTAGATTCTGGCTAATAGACTGTCGGCAGGCCCAAGAGTCAGTCAACTTTGCCACACAGGTCTATCGAGAGATCATCTGTGTGCCGTACATGGCCAAATTTGTCGTCTTTGCCAAAACACATGACCCCATAGAGGCACGCCTGCGCTGCTTCTGCATGACAGATGACAAGATAGACAAAACTCTGGAGCAGCAGGAGAACTTCACTGAGGTGGCTCGCAGTCGGGACGTGGAGGTGGGTGTGAAGAGTGCTGTATTTGGACAAATGTACTTACTCATAAGAATTGTTGGTTACCTCATTGTTAAATAAGCTTCCTTCACTAGAAAAATGCCCTGGATGTTCTTCATTAGATATATTTATATTTTTTTAATATGACATCAACACAAAAATCAGTGTACTTAAAGTAGAATGGCCTTGATATAGACATGTAACAGAAAGTTATCCTAACCCCACCAAGTGAGAGAACACATTTTTATAATAAATACATCTCCTTATATATCTCTTCCCCACTAACACTTTTTCAGTTAAAGTGTATGTGTTTATTGTGTTACTTTGTGTTGGACTTGGATTTAGTTAAAGGGGGTTTGTGTTTGGTAAACATCATAAGAGAGAGTAAGTGTGAAGTGGTTTTCAACTAGCAGTGTTTCACCTTGTTCTCAGTAAAAGAGCATTTTTTGAGCAGAAAATATGGCCTCATCTGACTCTACTTCTGTGCAACGCCACAATATGCCTACATTAAAGAGTCCCCTATCTGTAGCAACACATTACTTATCACTCATCCTAAGGTCCTTTTATCCAAAGGATCACTATATACATACTGGCCACTTTATCAGAAACTCCTCCCTTTCAGCTCCACCTGATATCTGTTAATGCCCATTTTTGATGCACAGTTTTCTGTTAGTCATCCCCAAGCCCTTCAACAGTTTCTGATCACAGAGCTGCTCTTGGCTGAATATGTTTGGGTGGTGCACCACTCTCAATCTAGTAGCAACAATGACGTGAAAATCTCAGCAACATATCAGTGTTGTTTTTAGAAATGTCTCTTTTCATTGTATATAAATATTGAATAAGAAAATATCGTATTGTATAAGAATTTTAGGTGTTCAGAACAAAAAATATGTAGAGACTGGGGCTGTTTGATGCACATTCGTATGTAAAAGTTTGAACATCGTGGGTCAAATGATACATTTTGTTTATTTTCTACAGGGAACAAACATAAATATGACATCTTTCTGCTAATTTCAGTGTATATTTTATTTTCATTTAACTTCTTTTAATTAGTTTAACTTCTTGGAAAAATACAATATAAAATATACAATGTGCCATAGCTGTTGCATGGGCTACATTGTTTTTTTTCCAATATGTTAAATTCAGCGAGTAAACGGTAATTGTGCGTAAAATGTGCAGAAATGTGTTCTCAGTAGAGGATGTTAACTTATTTTCAGTTAGAAAAACAACACATGTTTACAAAACATGTAATTTAAACCAATATGCAAACTGTTGCATACAACTACATCCATCACCTTTACATAAAACTTAATTTTAATTATAAACACTTGATCAAAGAAACCTCGCAAATGTTTGGAATCTGCATTTGTGTAGCCTTGATGTGTCAATCATTGTGCTGTTCTATTAAAGGTCCTGGAAGGAAAACCGATCTATGCAGACTGCTTTGGAAACCTAGTCCCCCTGACCAAGAGTGGTCAGCATCATCTCTTCAGCTTCTTTGCCTTCAAAGAAAACCGACTTGCCCTTTTTATAAAAGTGAGTTATCTGACGTGCATTTCAGCTCTTTTCCTTTGGTAAATGTTCTAATTCAATCAAATATTTTATAGTAACCTGCAGATAGCCTTTATGCAGAACTGTTATTTTTTTGTAAATATTTGCCTTTGTGATCTTTTGAGAAGCTTATAGTCACTGAATGATAACTTTTGCAATGCTTGCTTGTTGGAAATGTTACAGATACGAGACAATACTCAGGAGCCTTGTGGTCGGTTGTCTTTCATGAAAGAACCAAGATCATACAGGAGTCTGGCCCATAATGCTATATGCAACCTAAATATCACTCTACCGGCTTACTCTAAGGTAATTTAACCTCACCCTTCTTATAAATGATGATTACATCATGATGATTAAACATTCACATATGTAATACATTACAGATGCAAAAATTCACTCATGCATCCATGTAATGTCTCCGGAGCATTCAATGTCTCTTGAGCACTTTTTTCTGGCTTCTGTGTTTCTATTAAAATTTTCTCCATGCATGCATTCTTATAACACTTATTTTTGTAACCTCAGTATTTTTGTGTCAAACGGTTGACCCTTTCAGTTTAACTCATTATAATGTAATCCATATCCATATACACGACATGGCCAAAAGTATGTGGACACCCGACCATCACATCATTATGAGCTTGTTAACTTCTCGTTCCAAAAACTATTATTAGTATTAGTATAGAGTTGCATGCTAGAACAGTAAAGGGCTTTCCCCAAACTGTTGCCATAAAGTTGCAAGCATATAATTATCTAAAATATCATTGTATGGTGTAGCATTAACATTACCCTTCACTGGAACTAAGGGGTCTTGCCCCAACCCTGAAAAACAGCCCTAGACGATTATCCCCACCAAACTTTATAGTGGGCGCTATGCATTCCTGTAGGTAGCGTTCTCCCTGCATCCACCAAACCCAGACTTATCTTTTGGACTGCCCGATAGTAAGACGTGATTTAGACTTGAGTGACAGCATGCTTTACACCACTCCAGCTGACATTTGGAATGGTGCGTAGTGATCATAGGCTTGCATGCAGCTGCTCGGTCATGGAAACTCATTTCATGATGCTCCCAGTGCACAGTTTTTGTGCTGATGTTTCTTCCAGAGGCAGATTGGAACTAGATAGATCGGTGATTTTTCCTCACTATGTTTGTGTGGTCTAGCGCTTCGTAGCTAAGCTGGTGTTGCTCCTAGACACTTCCATTTCTCAATAAGCACTTACAGTTGATCGGGGAAGACCTAATAGAGCAGATATTTCACAAATTGACTTGCGGCAAAGGTGCCTCTCTATGACAGTGCCACATTTAAAGTCACTGAGTTCTTCAGTAGGGCCCATTTTACTGCCAGTGTTTGTCTATGGACAATTCATATGTGTTGATTTTATATACCCGTTAGCAATGGGCATAGCTGAAACCTGAACTCAGTAATTAAGAGGGGGTCCATGTATTTTTGGCCATTTAGTGTACAATCAGGGTTGTGGTTATGTTTGGATATAGTTCTTTGCCTTTTAAGTTTACTTTAAATAACTTTTACGTTAAATATAGGTTGAGGTTACGGCTAGTAAATAGTTGCATTTGTTTACTTATAGTGAATTGTTTACAAATAATTAGTAGTCAGTAGCCTAGTATTGACAAATTAACATTATTAGAGATGCAAATTAGACAAATCTTTCATGTTCAGTTTTGATAAAAGCCAGATTTGCCAGCTGTGTCTGTCTTCCACACATTCCCCTTCCCATGCCGTGCCTCATTGGCTGGCTCAAGAATTCTGTTGCTATGGTAACTGCTTTGCCTACTCTCTCTTTCCCTTCTCTCTGTCCTGTATCCCTCTGTCCCTCTTTCTCTTGATCTCTCTGTCTCCTCCCTCTCTCTTTTACTGCTTCTTGCTCCTCAAAGGAATCAGATTCAGATCAAGAGCCTGATGAGGAGGTAACTGTGGAGATATTTTCCTCTATTCTCTTAACACATTGGTTCATTTTGGATGGCCTCTTTCCTCTGTGTCAAAGTTTCAAAAAGTGAACATTTTTTAAGTCGTTTTCTACAATTGCAGTTTTACTCCGCTTGTCCTGGCTGTGTTATTCCTGCATAGTATGCAGAAACATCTGTAAATTTAACTTAATAACATGAAGCTTGTGAACTGCCTGTAGATGAGTTAGACTATCAAAAGCAACCAAAAACCAGTGTGCTCTGTACATGACATTAATATCACAAATAACTGCCAGTCAGCCACACTACTTTCAGTGTTCAAGCCTCAAACCAGAAAAGTGGATATTCTGGTCTTCTTGGCTAAACATCAGGACCTCTACCTTACTTTAAAGAAAATAATCGCTGCCACAATACTTGTCAGTACAATACTTGTTGGGGTTTTTTCCCCAATTTTTTCCCCATTTTTTTTCTAACCAAGAATATTTTATTCGAAAATACATTTCATCAGCAAATTCCATAATTGTGTTTCATTTTAAATAGAACAGTTATGGTTATATGTATAAAAATGTTAAAATAAATCATTTGTTTAGTTCAAAATGCATCGTAAATTCATGCCAGACATCAACTCACCTCAGATCACAGCAAGCTGTACTCCATGAATGATCAGACAATAAAAAAATGCTCAGTGCAAATTTGGTATAACAGGTTGGTACAACATGGAGGCATGACAAGTTTAGTGAATCATCTCAAATACAGGAGTAAAGTTATCCTCCATAGTGACCACCATGCATCCAGTCCACACTGCATTAAACTCAGCTCCGTCAGGTAACTGCTTCAGGTGAAAATATCCGTCTTCTTTTTCTCTCTCTTTTTTTAATTAAACAGTTTAACAGTAGGTTTAAAACTTCACAGCACAAACAGCAGATCACAACTGCAATTTCTTACCATGTTGGTATCAGAGAAGTTTTCTGGACAGCGCAGGAGCTGCTCTGCAACTACTACACCAACACGATCATCACATTTAAGTAAATAATTATTTACTTAGAAAATAATTGTTTTTTTTATATTGTATAAATATTGTATTTGTATGTATGTAAAAGGTATTGTATTTTAAAAATAATTGAGAACAATATAGAGAGTGGGACTGTGTGATTTCACTGGATCTTTATGGAGTTTATGCTTCACTCTTGTGCAAGTGAAAAAAATAGGCTTGCGTTTTGACAGGCATAAAGTGCATGTCTAGTACAGCTGGTGTGAACTGAAACATTGATTAAAATGGAACTGTATGTTCCATTTTAAGAACTTCCATGACTAAGAACACTTCAGATATTGTAGTAGTAGGAATGCATCAATAGCATTTTTTAAACCCAGTACGAGTAGATGTTCTTTAATAGTCGCCGATACCGAGTCTGATACCAAACAGAGTAACATGCGTAGAAGTATTGTTCATACCTTAGCAGTTAAATGGCAAAATCTAGCATAGTTTAAATGAAGCACATTAGCTAGCTATGCCACAGTAATTACCTTGAATCGAGTATCGCTGCAGTGGAGAAGTGCGGGCTTTGTCAGAAAGGCACTTCTGTACAGCTGTGAGTAAAGTACAATTCATACTTCATAGTTTTGCTCAGTCTCTAGCACACTGACAGCAGGAACCACATCCCAGTTTAATCCAAGGAGCTCACTTGCGGGATTTTACGTCTTCTCTGAGTCTTTAGTTTGGGCTGGTTGAGCTGTCCTGTAAAGCCAGACAAACACTGTGTGATTTTAGAAATATTGTTTCCTTGGTTACTCGCATTGTACGTTTGAATAGACCATCATCTACGAACAAAACCTACGACTTATATGCTCACACTGTAGTAAAATGCTTGATGCATGCTACATGTAATGCAGCCCTTAGAAACAGCTCTGTCTATGGACAATTTTGATTAAAGCTGTTTCATTCAAAATAACGCACTGCGCACCAAATACTGAGCAGACACACTGAGAAACTAAGCAGTGCTGCTAACACTGAGCACTGAAGCTAAAACCAGGGGGTGATGCACACGATAGGACAATATGGTCTCTCTACAGCCTATTTTACCAAAAATATCACCCTACTAATGTTTATACCTCACTATTTTGTGTCTCCACCAATATGGGGGCAGTGATTGTGACTGTGTTTGTGTGTGTTTAAAAATGGGCTAAAATTACACAGTGTATTCCTGGTGGGAATCTGCCAATGCAGAATTTGAAAGTCATCAATGGCTTTTTGTTTGACTTTCACAGAGTCAATAACTCTCCTCTGTGCAAGCAGCGAGTCCTTCACTCCCTTTGTTCATTAGCGCGACAGCTTGTACTCGGCGTATGGTATCAGCTGATATTGGAACATTGGTATCGGTGAATTTTGTACAAGTACAAATAAAAGAGCATGATGTTGGCCCGATACATGATACCAGTAACGGTATTGATGCATCCCTAGTTTACAAGGTTTTGAGACTGAGCATATAAGTTCTTCTTAAGAAATACCAGTGTGTATTCAAAGCCTGTAAAATGTTGTTCGGGCCAGATGTGATTTAAGAAGTGAATACTTTGGAAACTCTTAAAGTGATGTGCTTATTAAATCTGTAGTTTATGACTAATTGAAACTCTTTCACATGCTTCTTTTTTCAGACTAGCCGAACACTTGGGAAATGTAAGGCATTTCATTTTTATTGGTTTACTGTGTCCTCTTTCATCACAAGATTGCTTTTAACCCACTAATTCGCAGACTGACTGTAGAATGCCTAATGTAGTTTGGCAGTTTTTAACATCTGTAATAATAAAAATGCTAATAATAATAATAGTATTGTTAGTATTTATTGCACTTGAAAAAAGACAGCGAGTTTCTTGCTTAATCTGTTTGAGATGTGTGTTAGTGTAAATGACATTTTGTAAGTGTCATCCCTCCTTTCCTGTCCAAAACACCATCAGATACTGAAATATAGAGATTATCTTATGGCTAATTGTTATGCCCACCTCCAATTTGTCACTATTTGTAAAGCAGTATAATCTTTTAAAGCTTTCTCTCATTTTGTGTCTCTTCCTGAATTCCTGGTCACTAAAGAGAGTGAAGCTTTAAAAGAGATACTGTCTATGCATGAACATAGACTAAATTTCATTCATACTGTGGTGATGCTTGTGTGTTTAATTTGTTAAATAGTAATGGCTTCCCACCCTTCATCAAATGTAATAACAATCTGCAAAGCAAACTAGTTTGCTATTGTCCCTTTTTTTCAGTATTTATGATCTTATAGTAGTTCCAAAAGTTTGTAGACACCTGCTTTCATCCTCCACCATCCGAATTCAAGTGTATTATTATTATTAGGGAGTTTGCCCCATCTTTGCTGCAGTAACAGTAGTAACTAAATGTGGGTATATATTGCTATGAGGATTTGACTGCGTTCAGCCACAAGAGCATGAGACAGGTCAGATACTGATGTTGGCTGATTAGTCACATATAAACCTTCTCTTCATCACCACTCAGGTATGGCTGCCCCAGAGTGTCACATTCTATTGGCAATACTTTTTTTTAGATTATACAAGCTTTGAATTCCTGGTGTAGCTTGAAGTAGCTGAACCCACTACTTAGAAGGGTAGATGGGGTGTCTGGATGCTTCTGGACACAATCATATGTATACATATATATACAGTACTGTGTAAAAATCTTAGGCACCCAAGCAAACTGATTAAAACCATTTATCTGGGCAATAAATGTGTTTCTTCTTGTGAAAACTACTACCACCATCTACCACCAGCACTTCTGATTTAACTTCATGAAGGATTGTTTAGCCAAACCAGGTATTGGATGATGATTACAAATTATACTGGGCTGCCATGGGGAAGGGCTTGGAAATTGTTAAGGAACACACTGACATACGTAAAGTAAAAAAAAAAACTATTTATTGAATTAATTATATTTGTATTTATTTAAATTTAAATGCTTTCTGAGCACATAAATGCTTACTGCCCAATTAATAAGCTCTTTTAATATAATTTTCTTTCATTAACAAGCATTACAACAAAGCCATTTGTATTATTAATTTCACTAATGTTTGCATAGCTGTTGCCAGATCTTGTATGGTAATATGATAATATGAAAACCATTACCATTCAGTGGTGTAGGTTGAATTATGTATGTGATCATTTGCATACATTCTAGGTTACTAACTATGCCTTATAGAGTAAGGATAGTAAAATAGTTATCACCACACTATGTAATGTAAAGATGATGTGTTAGTTAAATTTGTATAAGGCATGTAGATGGCCTGGGATAAAAATCTATGGCACTTAGCTTCCACCCAAGGCTGCATGTTAATAATACCCTTAACGTTGCATGGAAATAACTTGGCTTACATAGTATGTGTGTGTGTGTGTGTGTGTGTGTGTGTGTATGTATGGATGTTGTTTTGTGTGTTTGTCTAAAGTATGATCATCTTCTTTTCCTTCTCCATTGTTCATTAGCACAGTTTGCTTTTATCACTCTTTACATTTATTCTGGTTATATCTATTCTGTAAGATTATTTTATGTTGTCATTGTCCAAAGAAAACAAGCACCTCCAAAATGAAAAGTTTTCAGGAGAAGGCAAAAAAGTTCTTAACTTTTCAAGTTAATGTAAACAGAATTTATTCAAGCAATGTTGAATCATTTCTATTGGTCCATTCTACGTTAAATTTTCACACAACTTGAAGGACAGCTCCTGTGCTCAAATGATGTAGAATACTAAAAATCTCAAAAAAATGGAGATGCTAGGGTTTGTTTGGACAGTGGCGATACATTACAACCATTTTGACCCTATCAAATAAGAGTAGTCAGTAAATCAGGGATGGATCATAGTTTTTTTAAGCTGTAAGCCTTTTCCACTGACATGAGAAACCTTTAGTTGTTATCATTTGTATTATCTCATTCATCCAAATCAAAACGTAGTGTCACTGGCTTTCTTTTGGAAACAAAAAAGTGTTTTTGTAAACATTGTTTATTTCTCTTTTTCTCTCTCTCTCATTCCCTTTTGTATAGACATGAGTTTTACATCTTGAGCAATATTGAGCAGTCTGTCTGTGTTGCTCCTCCACAGTATGTCAATCTGTGTATTATTATTTATTCATTTTCTAAATGCTCCAATTAAATTGTCATTTCAGCTTGATTCTTGCTTTTTCTTCATCTCACATGCGTGAATGTGCTGTTATACAGACTGTGGATAAGCAAGTTATTTCCTGCTTATTTCCCTAACATCTTTAAGGTTTGGTTAGAGTTTGCTTTGCAGTTGTTGTTTCATCATTCTTGTAGGTCCATTATCCGTTCTCCTACATTCTACTTTACCCGTCCCTCAGTCAAACCTGTGCTGATCCTTGAAACTTTGTGCTGTTCCTTCAAACTGTGATGTTCCTATCCTGATGTCGATTTCAAATTTCTGTTCCTTTTAATTTAAATTTTGGTTAATTTGCTCCTTAAATGTCCTCTTTCGAAATGGAAGATGACGAAGATACTGAAACTTCTACAGAGACATCCATCCTGAAAACACACTTGATTCGAGAGTCTCCTGCCCTCGCGAGTCCAGATTTACTATCTGAAGTATCAGAGATGAAGCAAGATCTGATCAAAATGAGTGCCATTCTGACCACTGATCCCTCTGAGAAGTCGGGCTCTATGCAAGGGGGTGATCTAGTAAAGGGGGTGGAGGAGGTGTCAGGGGAGCCTTTTGAAATAATGGAAAAGGTCAAAGAAGATCTGGAGAAAGTTAGTGAGATTCTAAGGAGTGGAACATATGAGGATGAGGTTCTTGAGGAATCAGCAAAAGCAGAAAGCCGCCCATATAGAAAGGACGAGGAGTGGGTTCTTCTCTCAGACTGTGAAATTGAGGAGGCCAAAATGATGGCAGCCTTTGAGACCCAGGAACCACTCCTTAAGGATATTCGAGGCAGCCGAGGGACACAGAGACAAAAGAGTGCCAATGAAGACCTTAAAGAATACCTACTGGATGTGCCTGTGACTTCTGCAACTGCTTCACAGGAGACTGTGGTGCAGGAAAAGTTCACTGAAGTTGTGTTGCGTAGGGGAGGTAAAAAAATCATATCAACTGTGCTTAAAGACACTAAAACACATGTGGCTGAAGTGAAAAAGCCTGCTCGAAGAAAGGGGCCTCAAGGACACACAGATGAATCCCACATACCCAGCTCAAAAGCAGGCTCAGTCAGTGAGAGCAAAGGAAAGCCCCAAGGCGAAGATACTCTTCTAAGTGCCCCGTCACACCAAAAAAAATCACCTGTATCACCAGTAGTTGAGGAAACGCCAATTGGTTCAATTAAAGACAAAGTTAAGGCCCTTCAAAAGAAAGTGGAAGAGGAACAAAAGGGCCGAAAGCAGACTAGCAGCAAACCCTCTGCTGTATCTTCAGAAAGAAAATCTCCTGCCCTTAAAGACCAAAAACCCTCAGGCCCCAAAAAAACACAGGTCCCACTTAAATCCCCCAAAAAAGAGTCTGAGAGACTAGAAGAGACCATGTCAGTGAGAGAACTCATGAGAGCTTTTCAGACAGGACAAGACCCTTCAAAGCGAAAGTCTGGACTCTTTGAACACAAAGCAGCTTCTGGACCAAAGCCCAAACAAACAGCTCAAGTCAAAGAAACTCTGTCCACGCCTTCCCTATCTGAAGCATCATCACTTGGGCAAGAAGTGTCACTTGATGCCATTGAACCACAGAGAGAAAAAGAACTTCAGATTAGCCCAGAGATCAGACATTCCAAAGACTTTAGTGCAGAAATAAGAGCAGAACTTGAAGACAATGCTCAATACGAGCAATTTAAAAAGTCAGAAGTAAAAGATGAAGATAGTTTGTCTGGTGTTAAACAGTCAGATACAACTACTGCAGTTCCCCAAGATCTGTCTAAACACAGAGAGTCTCGACCTGACAGTGGGCCTGAGAGTAGTGCACTTGATGACAGCTCTGACAGTATCAAAAATGAAGGTCTGGTTGATTCACCTTGTGCCAGTGTAGGTGAAGGGGAAGTCCACATTAGTTCAGAGGAGAGCTACAAACATGAGGGCATGGCAGAGACTCCAGAAACAAGCCCTGAAAGCCTTTCCTCATCACCCAAACGGCCAGGTCAATCTGTACTTGGAACCGTATCAAAAGCAGCAACAGTTACTGCCAAGGACACGAGCAGCCACCTGTCTGACTCCTCTTCCCCTGCTGCAAAAACAGCTGATGAGCAAACATCTACAGCAACGCTTCGGCGATCATCTGTGAAAAAAGCAGTTGAAGATCCTTCAAAAAGTGAGTGTACGAGTACATCTCGGGGCAAAACTGTGAAATTTGGTGATGAGAAAGCCCCTGTTGATAAGGACATTGTTTTGGCATCATCCAAACCACCTAAAACTCGGAAATTAACAAAAAGAGGTTCCGAAACAATAGAGAGTTTTTTAAGCGATGAAGAATTCTCTGATGGCCAACCAGCATCAACCTCTGCTGACTCTGTGGCCTCAAGGGCAGACACACAGGGTCATAGTGGTTTAGTTCTACATCTTAGACATCAAGATTCAGAGAGCATTAGTCCAGTAGCTGATGACTCTATAACCATTAGTCACAAAGACTCTTTAGAAGGTAGTCCCCTTATGGAAGACAACTCCTCCCATAAAACCCCAGACTCAATTGAGCCTAGTCCAACTAAGGAATCCCCATGCTGTGACTCTCTAGAAAGCAGCCCTGTAGAGCAGAAAACCACCTTGGCCTTTCCTCCTACAGTAGAGCAACCCGGTGTGACTGCAGGGCACCTGACATCCTCCAAAGCTCCTGAGTTCCCCCCAGAAAATTTGCGTAGTAGGCTCCTCAGAGACCAGGAGGGTAGTGCCGACGATGACAGTTGTGAGCAGACGTCTCAGCTGACGAGTTCGGGTAAGAGTCCTCTTTCCCCTGACACCCCAAGTTCTGAAGAGGTAAGTTATGAGGTCAATCCTAAAACCCCAGACCTTATGGTCCTGTCCGTGTCCCTAAAGCCATCAGTCATACCTGAGGATGCAGAGGAAGATGATGAGTTGGAGTGTGGCATGACTCAGAGGAAATTCACCCCAGAGGAAGAGATGTTTAAAATGGCTGCCAAAATAAAAACATTTGATGAGATGGAACAAGATGCAAAAGGCAGAAAGGACAATAAAAAAGATATTTGGTCCTCTCAGACCATGATTGGGTCTGAAGAAGGACATGAAAGCAGCAAACTAATTGGCCTTGCATCCAAAGATGAAACATCCTCAGTGGATGGCCTTGAGTCCAAACAAGGGTCAGAGGTAGCACAATCTGTAGAAACTACTATTAAAGTACAACCTCCCTCTCCTTTTCCAGCAGGTATGCATGAGAGCCCTCAAACAGCTGAGGACATTCACCAAACCCTGGCCCACACTGCAGCGTCAACAGATGAATCAGCAATGGAGGGACCTCAGTCTGTCTCAGAAAAGCATATCGCAAAAACCCACCAGATCCCTCAAGAACAAAAAGAAAAGAGATTTGTTAGTACTAAAGAGTTAGAACAGACCACTGAAAGGTCATCCAGCAGTGAAGGGGCAGCAAATATAACCGATGAGCAAAAAGAGGAAAGCCTAAGAAAGTTAAAAGGAAGCACAGATGATGACAGGGTTGGAAAGCAGAAAGATTCATCTAGTTACCGGCAAGTTGATACTAAATCACATAGCTCGACAGAATGTAACATAACAGATGAGGTTAAAGGGGATCACATGAGGCATACAGGGGCATCTGATATAGATTTAGGTAGGGAAGGCTTAAGAACTGAAGCTGATTCTGTACCTATTATTATCGGGCAAGCAAGGGAAACATTTAAACCAGAAATTTGTATTTATGATGACACTGAAGAGGATGACGAAGAAGAGGAACCTCCTAAAACAAAGTCAAGAGGAGTAACTGCAAGAGCAGAGGCAGACACCTGGAATGCTATGCGGGAAGACGACGATGCCTTTGCAGCAAGAGTGAGAGAAGAGGAACAAAAAATTTTGGGTTTGATTGTAGATCGTCAGTCTCAAGGAGCAACTCCAGACACTACACCTGGAAGGACACCCACCGAGGAGGGCACACCAACAAGTGAACAAAATCCTTTCCTTTTTCAAGAGGGTAAACTATTTGAAATGACTAGAAGTGGTGCAATAGACATGACCAAAAGAGGCTATGAAGAGGAAGGTTTTGCCTTCTTTCAAATAGGAGAGCAACCAATTGAAGAGGCACTTGTAGAGGATGTTAGGGAAGAACCTGCTAGTAGCTTCACAGGGGCAGAGAAAGAGGTTGGCCTTAACCTAACATTGCAGATTAAACCTGAAGAAGCTGATCAGTCTTCTAAGGAGGCTGCAGATGCATCTCTCCATTCCCCACCTGAGGATGATCAGTTGAGCACTGCAGGTAAATCAGATGCCTCAAAGTCTAGAATCCCCATCAAAATGGGTGTTTCTGCCTCAGCCAAAACCACAAAGAAAAATCAAGTGACATCAGAAGATGCAGAAATAAAAACAGACAAATTATCAGAAGATAGCCCTTCAGTGACTGATCTTGTTTCTCCAGATGCGGTCATAACTGATGTCCAGACAGCAGTGTCAACAGTTACTAGATCAGTTTATTCCCAACAAGACCAAGAGTCCTCAGATTCTTCACCAGAGGATCAGCACTTGGTAAAAGAACTACCTAAAAGCCCTGAAAAGACTTCCCCATCTTCTGAAAAGATATCAACAACAAAAACCAAGCCTGTCTCTAAAAGTCATACTGCGTATACTCAGAAAAAGTCGTCCTCCTCTAAGGAGGAGGAGAAGCCAAAATCAAGAATCCCTGTAAAGGCCACTTCCCCCAAATCTGAGACAGGGTATGACCTGTCTATGAAACGGGCTGAATCTCTTAAGGACAAAAAGTCCAAGTTGCCTGTAAAACCTGAAACAAGGAGAAAATCTGAGACAGACACAGGTCCCTCTGTAAGCTCCAGAGTGACAAGGTCTTCGAAAGCCAAGGGTGACTGTGAAAGTGATTCTACCAAGAAACCAGCTAAGAAGGACCAGGTTCAACCAGCAAGTACTGAGTTTTCCAGCAAATCTAAGACATTACCTTCAAGGCTGCCTGTCAGAGGAAAGCCTGGTTCACCAGCCCACACCTCTACACCTGGAAAAAAAGAGCAGCACCCAGAGAGACAAAAGCAGTCTATTGATTTTTCTGAGGAGATTAGTGATGAGGCAGCTAAGCTAGTGGAGAGGTTGGCTCAAGCAGAGAAAGAAAAAGAGGAGGCAGCTGCCATGTCGGATGATGAAAGCAGCACCATAGATGTCTCAGTAATAGAGATTGAGCCTTTCCCTGACATGCAGATGCCTCTTCCAGAGGACCCACTGGTCATTAGGCCTCGGTGGGACGACCCTGTTGAGACGCAGATGGAAAGAATCCCTGCCGATAAAGGCCAAGTCCGAAGTCAAGGTATCCCCCATCACAAGGGGCCCATTCTCTCTCTCTCATCTGCCTCAGCACATTAGCGATGAAGGTGCTGCCTCTCTGTCTTGTAGCTAAAGCTTCAACTCTTTGTGGTGCTTCTGTGATGTTTGAACTGTGTTTGTGCCTGTCTCCTTTCCTTGTATGTGTCATAGTATTGTTAAGACTGATCCAAAGTCTATTTGTATTGAGGAGTTAAGCTGCAAAGCATGCTGCAATTACTGCTGACATCTGTAAAGCCATTATTTACGCTGCCACATCATTCCATAGCGAGTTGCAGATAGCAAATCCTTGACATCTGCTGTATTGCATAATATTTCACAGCGTACTACAGAAATCATTATTTACAGTTCTTTAACTATATATTCATTTCTTAAGAGAATGTAACTGAAAATACTGGAATCTGTAACAATAGTGCACCTATAACAAAATTTTATGCATAGTACTGTGAAAAAAGTCAGAGACCATCCTTCATTTATTGAACTTCCAGTCAAAACAACCATTAAGTACAAGTTCAAGGAGAAAAAGCAGAAAACATATTTAACAAAAAAATTACACAGATGTCTCAACAACTAAATATAATATTTTTTTTCAGTATTTAATGTGTCCACCCTTTTCCTTTAGTACAACTTCCATTTTTTTGGGAGACTTGCTTTCATTACACACCTCCATAGTTCAGTCTTAGAAGTTAATTGCATTTTTTACATCTCATGATCGTAGTAACCCCAAACACACTTGTTGAGGTCTGGGCTCTAAGGTCTTGCTCTGAGAACATCAGCAGCTTCTTTGTTTCTCTGTTTCCTTTTTTCTCACTGAGGGCTTCTTAACAGCTCCACATTCTTTCAGACCTATAGCGTTGAGTTGACTTGAGTTGAAAAACCTGTGATTTTCTTTAGATCTGCAGCAAGAGTGGAGCTTGATTTTCTCATTTCACTCAAAAATGAACTCTTTAGGTACTGTTTAAATGATGCTGACAGTTTTGGGGGTCTGCCAGGTCTTGCACGGTTGTTGGGAGTCCCATTTTCTATGTATCTTTTAATCATTTTTTAACTCCAGTTATGGAACATTGTTTCACTTACTTTCCTTTGACTTTCCTTTCATTTTTCCATTTCTTATGCAAGTGGACTATCTTATAGCTAATATCCTCAGAAATATCTCCTGAAAATGAATGTTAATGGTGGTTTTGACTAGAAATTTGATAAATGGAGAAAGGTCTCTGACTTTTGCACATTACTGTAGCTAATGAAGGAAGTAGTGTTATGTGAATGTCATGCAAATATCTGGTTAAATTTCATGCATAAATGCAAAGCTTTGAAATGGAAAACATAGTTTAAAATCAAGAGAAAGCCAGTGATTATATATTATATTTAATGTACTATATTGTTGGATGTGATCTTTTCCCTGTAGCAATTGCTTCTACCCAACCTTTTAGGGCTGTTTTTCAAATGTATTTCATAAGATGTTGTGTTTTTTGGTGGTGTTTTCTTTCTTATGTGTTTTGATACTGGAATTTGCAGTGGACCCACAGGATGAAGCTGACAGGAAGGAGGGACGATTAGCTGTAATGGCTGACCACCTTGGTTTTAGCTGGACAGGTAAAATCAATATTAGTAGCTGGTGGTAAGAAGTAGATTGGGATTAATTTGATAAGCCATAATTCATTCTCTACACTGCAGCCTTCGATTTTGCAACTAATGTAATCTAAATCAGTTTCTTAACTACATTATATTAGTATATTATGGTGTTACTTATTGCTTTGAGTAAGTTAAGAGATTATACAAACAGAAACAAACAGTTCATTGGGAATCTATTCGCAGATATTCAGAGAAGCCTTACTCTTCTATGCATACTCTTAATTACTGATTTATTTTATTAGCTTGGCTGCATATTTTTGCAAACTGCATGATGTTTTCTTCAAAGTGTTGTATTTTCTTTTATTCAGCATAAACATTCAATTGTGTGTCTATTGTTCATCCAGAACTGGCTCGTGAACTTGAATTTGGTGAAGAACAAATCAATCAGATAAGAGTAGAGAATCCAAACTCACTTCAGGACCAAAGTCACGCCCTCATAAAGCTATGGACAGAAAGAGAGGGGACAAATGCTACAGGTAGGATTAGTAATCACTACTTTTGTTGTGGTTTCTTCTGCTGAAGGATATTTTAGAACTGGGTGGTCAGTAATCTGGGTGATCATTGGTGTATTATACTAATTAGTTAATATATGAGGTTCATGATTTTGTCTCTTATTTATCACAGAGGAAGGATTTATTCCTGTAAATGGAAACCAAAAAATTTATAAAAAGCCATATACCAAAGAATAACATATGTTAATAATCCAAGAGTTCTGTCTCTTTTTGTCTTCTTGACTTGTAATTAGTTGTTACAAGAGTATGCTATGCTGTGCCCTCCGGAATAAGTGGCATCCTTGGTAAAAATAAATAAATAAATAAATAAAAGCAAAAAACAGCTATTAGGAAATGTCTTTATTGTTTATGAGATAGATCTTACTCTAAAATGCAAGACAAATCTAAGGTCAGTGAGGTAGAAATTTTGCTTTATGTCCCTGAGTAAGGTCTAGAAGTTTGGAAGCGTGATGTGATTGTAGAAATGAAAGAAAAAGAAAATGACAGATACCTGTTTAAAACCTGTATATAAAATTTGGGATAAAAACAATAGATTTACAATAAACAAAGACATTGTTCATAGCTGTAATGTTACAGGAATGGTAGCAAATGACCAACAAAACTGGGCCTAGGGGTTGAGTGGTGCCAAAGTGCTTGAGTGGTGCCAAAGCAACAATAATAATGAAAAAAATCCCTGATCACAAAGTTAAAACACAATGCATGGTGTTGTGGCTAATCTTAAATTAAAATGAATCCACTCTGGTCTGGTAAAATTTCCAAACTCACATTCATTTTTTTAATTAAATCAAATTGTCATGATAATGTATTTTGAAAAATTTTAACCAGGCGTTTTATTCAGTATTTCAAGAATTTAGTAAAAAAGAAGTGAATAAAATGATACGCATATACTCGAATCACCAGTTTAGATAATTTTTTTGTCAAGTTATCTGCCTTGAGATTTGATCTCCACTTTTGATTTTTATTTGTAGCTCCCTGGCATATTAGAATATATGTATATACTTGTCAGTGTATATACTTGCAAATTGGTTTTATATTTTTGAAAGTATTGATTCCAAACTTTTGAGGTTTTAAGGTTTGCTTTCCTTAGAATGGAACAGATGGAAAATGAGCATAATTCTTAAGACAAACAGTACAGCTTCACACAATAAACAAGGTCACAGGCCAAACACCCTTAGTCATCCATCACCATGGGGAGTATCATTGAATACACAAATGAGACGAAATGTTGTTGATAGACCTATAAAAATAAATGTCATCTCAGAAAAAAACATAAACATAAGTGCCTGGAGTAGACTAAACATCACTGAAATGTTGACTGGCACTGGATTTTATTGTCAGATGCGCTTGGGACTAGGAGTGTTGTTATGATACATGATATGTTGGTATCCATCAGGAAATTGTAGATTAATATCTGGCTCTTCCAGGAGGCTTAGACCCTACAGTGTGTCAGTGATATAATGCATCAATTCTGTCAGGGAACCAAAATGATTACTTCACCTAAAAATTACTGATTGTTGTGAGTCATCCTGTGTTCTGCTGTAGGTATTGTTGATAAGCTTGTGTGTTTGTACCTGTAAAAATGTGTTAAATATTTTCAATTTCTTCACAGAGAGAACTTTGATCACAAAGCTCACCAAGATTAATCGTATGGACATTGTACATCTCATCGAAACAAAGCTCATCCAGTCCACTCAGGACAAGTCATCACATACCTATGCAGAAATTGAGCAGACCATTTCACTGGATCACAGTGAAGGTAATCATAACATACTCTTAAGCAAGCATGACAACCACTTATAACAAAGAATAGAAACTTTGGAAAGCCTATTTGTCTTTGTTTCTTAATAAAGATTTTTTTCACTTGACATTAACTTGATGTGAGGAACTGTTGCTCATTTTGTAGCCATCTTTTCTCCAGGTTTCTCAGCGCTTCATGAGGACATGGACAGCCCTAGGCCAGGCAGGCGCCCAGAGATCACTTTCAGGAAGGACAGAGTCTGGGCAGCAACCTCCAGTGGTGTCTGTTGAGGATCTCTCTTCCAGTATATCTTCCCTCAATGACACTCAGAAAGAGAAGTTGCAGACAGACATTGATAAAAGTCAAGAGTAAGTCACATAAGATGCTCTACTTATTTTCTCTCATGAAATCAGTAGTTTTGAAACTCTTCCATGTTTAACTTCATATTTGTTTGCCAGGGTAATTGGAGGCTCACCACAGTCTCATTTTGAGATGACTGGTCTAAAGCAACAGTTCCCAGGCACTTTTAAACAAGTAAGTCCCTTCTTTACCCTGTACAAAACTGCACCTTGGAAGCTTCGATCTCAAGTGTATGGCCCAGTTTACAAACACACAGCTATTCCTAAACTGTCATCAGACAGCCCTCCACAGCAGTTAAATCCCTTTGACGATGATGCTCTCCAAGAATTAGGAGCGGCAGGGGGTCAATCTGTGCAAGTGCCTATTAAACAGGATATTGATGATATTACTGAATCACCCAGGCGCCGTAGACTAAGCCAGAAGCAAATAACCCTGACAGATTTTGGAGACACCTTGCTTGAGTTTGAGCACTCTGAGCAAGATTTCAGTGAACTATCTGTGGAGCTCCATCAAGCACCCAAGGATTACGTTTCCACCTATGTTTCTCCTACATCGCTAACCTTCTCTCAACCGTCAATTGAAAGGGCTTCTGAGAAAATAGTTACACAGTCTTCATTGCTCATACAAAAGGCAGAGTATGTGACTGACATACCAAGCCAGAAACCTGAGGCAAAACCTGTGGATGAAATGCCAAGAAAACATAGCCCAGGTGAGGAGTACATAAAGCGCCATGTTGAGGAAATTTCTGACAAGTTCTATAGAACCCTCTTTGGTGGAGACCATGTTTCTGCAATGGATGGTTCCCTTCATGCCAAACATGTTAACTCAGCAGAGGCCTCAAACTCATCCATAGTCACTGATGCTAACTGGATTGCTCTTGAGTCACCTGATTTGACATCCAAACCAAATCTCATTCCTGTTAGGCCATCCTCAGAGCCTGTGGACACAAATGTCACAAGCAAGGAGCAAGTGCAAAACTTTATGCAGACAGTTTGTAATACACCACCAGAACAGCTGTCCTCTGGACGTGAGGCTGCTGTTAAAGTGAGCACTGTCCTTTTTACACATACTCAGATGTCACTTGACTCAAAAACTGGGCAGATACATCCTTTATCACAACCTGAACCTTTAAATTTTAGTACCGCAGAAGACCAATTCAAAGCAACAGTATCATCCAGAACACAAACCCAAAGCTCCACACCTGTACACAGTAGTGCGAAATCGGCACAGCTGTCAGACTGTACACCTTTTACAGCAGTTCATATATCACAAACAGAGTATAGATCATCACCAGATTCTGGATCTGAATATGTAGCCGACCTGGAAATGTCTTTACACGAATGTCGACCCTCGTCACCTGAATCTGCAGTCTCACTGCCTATAGATTCACCAATACCATTCGATTACCATTACAGATCAGATTCACTTGACTCATGTACATTAATGGCTGAAATAAGAGCAAGTTCTCCTGAATCTGTAGCATCAGGTACTGATCAGGTACTACTCTCTCCTGACTCTCCTTTACCTGATTTCAGACCACTTTCGCCTCTACCGCCGGTTTGTGAATATGAAACACCTGAATTCATAGTGTATGTTGAAGAATGTAGAACTTCCGGTGATTTAGGCAATGAACAGTACTCATCCATGTATACGTCAGGTACTCAGTTCATACCACTGGCATCTTATTTAATGGTTTCTGATGAAACAAATAGACCAGTTTCACCAGGATCAATGATTGAGTTTAGATCCGTTACTCCTGAATCTAATGAATCCTTATCTTCTGGATCCTTTCATTCTGAAAGCTTAGAGAGAGAAACGTCCCCTGAGAGGGGTTCAGAGTATGGTCATTGGAGTGATGCTGATATCTTGATTGATAGGCCATCCTCCCCTGAATCAACAGGATCTTTGAATGAGTATATGCCACTTTCTTTTGATTCACCAATACCTAGTTTTACACCAGAGGCATTTGACTTTTTAGGGCAAGTAAAAGAATACCTATCATCATCTCAGTCTGAGATTTCAGATGTAGACTCTGAACTGTCATTAGAGTGGTTGTTTGAGGGTCGACCATCATCTCCCGAATCAGCATTATCAGTGAATGAATGGAGGGTGCTTTCACCTGATTCACCTCTACCAAGCTTTGCTCAAAACATATGTCAATTGGCCATGCCTATAAAAGAATGTAGATCTGTGTCACCTGAGACAGATCTTTCAGCCAGAGAATGTGATTTAGTTGCACCAGTAGTATCGCCCCTTGAATGTCGACCTTCGTCACCTGAATCATTAGCATCTGTACATGAACATAGACCTCTTTCACCTGATTCTCCAATACCACACTTTACTTCAGCAGTGTATGAACTGCATATATCTGTAGGAGGATATAGATCCGACTCACCTGAATCAGATCTTTCAGACAGAGAGTACAAGCCGATATCACCCATGGCAGTACTGTCTGAGGACCGACCATCATCACCTGAATCAGTATCATCTGTAAATGTCCATAGACCATTTTCATCTTATTCATCAGTACCTGAACATAGACAAACAGTGTCTGATTATGATATTTCCTTAATCCAAAGACCACCATCCCTTGAAATGGGATTATCAGATATTGTCTGTTCCAGCTTTGATCCCAAGGTCCCACAAAGTGCACTAAAGACACAGTCTCTAGAGTCTAAGATTTTAGAAACTGATAACTCATATGAAATAATTTCAGAGAGTCAGTTCAGTCCTGACTTTCTGACTGATTCTATGATCCTCTCAAGCAGGCAGATTTTGGAGGGATCTGAAAAATCAACTGAAAACCTCCCAAAACCACAGCGTTCAGATCTAGATGTAAACGCACAAAAATCAGATGTGGGATATACTGTCAAGCCATTCATTTCTGAGTTAGCAAATCAAGCTTCATGTGCAACTAACATAACTGTAGTCACATGTACAAGATCCTCACCTCAGGAGGCACGAGATATAAATATACCTGCTATTAAACAGGACTTGGCAGCTGGAGAGAACAAAGTGCATTTATCAAGATCATCAGAATCAGTAGTTCCTGAACATCAGGCTCTTTTTGCACAACCCCTAATATCGACACCCATAGAACAGTCATTAGATCCATCAGCCACAGCTAAGTACAAGCTTGTTTTTAAGCCTGTTCTAAATAATCTTATGAGTAAAATATATGATCCACTGTATAAAGGTGAAACATTTTGCCCTAAACCAGGTGTTTTTGAGTATAGTCGAAGTTCACCAATCATCACATCAATCTCTGCTGTCGCACAAGGTCCTCTTTATTCTTTGCCTTGTCCAAAAGAACTAGACTTCACTCTCACAGAACAGTTTTCTCCTGTTAGTGAACCATTGCCCGAAGCATATAAGCAGTACTGCCTTCCGGTAGAGCACTGTTTTAACAGTGGAGCAGATAAGTCTCAATTTGAGAGTTGTCCTCTTTCACCTGAGTCAGTGAATGAATATAAACCTATGACTCCTGAATCACTGATATTTCTTGAACACTTAAGAGCATCCTCTCCTGAATCTACAGCATCAGTGAATGAGATGAGGGCATTATCACCAGACTCACCAATTCCTCAGTATGCATGCATGTATTTTGAACCAGACATATCAAACACAGGAGACAGATCATTAACACCAGAATCTGTCATATCAGAGGAAGAATATGATATGACTGCTGATCATTTAACAGTGACTTATTGTAGACCGTCATCTCCCCAATCAATAGCATCTGGAGATTGCAGGCCTTTATCACCTGACTCACCTATTCCAGAATTCAGAGCATCTTTCCCAGAGAGTTCTTTGCCAATTTCTGGATATAGATCATGTTCACCTGACTCACTGTGTTCAGAATCTATAGAATATGAAAGTTTTCCTGGAGACTTGTTCACTGTTCAGCAGAGGCCAGAGTCACCCGATTCTTTTGTATCAGAAATTGAAGATAGACCTCTTTCCCCAGACTCTATCTCTGAATATAGGCCTAGGTCACCTGAGTCTATGACCCTATTATCAGACATCAGAGGATCCTCACCGGATTCAGTTAGCGAATGTAGACCATTGTCTCCGGATTCCCCAACACCACAGTATTCAACATTGTTGTTTGAGTTAGTGCCAGTGATAGGACACAGATCATCCTCTCTTGAGTCTCTGGCATCAGATACAGATTATGACTTAAGTGTTCTCACAGATGCAACTTCTTCTTATAGACCTTCATCCCCTGATTCAATGGCATCAGCAGATGAATTTAGTCTATTATCAACTGATTCACCTATTCCAGAATTTAGATCGTCTTTCCCTGAGACTGTGCTTCCAGTCTCTGGATATAGATCATGTTTAAGTGAATTAGTGAGTTCAGAATCTACAAAATATGAAGGTTTTCTTGAAGACTTTGTATCTGCAAAGCAGAGGCCAGTATCACCAGATTCATTTGAATCAGAAGTTGAAGATAGATCTCTTTCCCCAGACTCCATTCCTGAATACAGGCCTATATCGCCTGAGTCTATGATCTCACTATCAGACATTAGAGGGTCTTCACCAGATTCATTTAGTGAATGTAGACCATTGTCTCCAGATTCACCAATACCACAGTACTCAGCATTATTGTATGAGTTAGTGCCAGTTATAGGACACAGATCGTCCTCTCTTGAGTCTCTGGCGTCAGATACAGATTATGATTTAGGTGTTTTCACAGATGAGGCTTTTTGCCAGAGGCCATCATCACCTGATTCAATAGCATCAGCAAATGAGTATACACCACTATCACCAGACTCACCTGTCCCAGAATTCAGAGCATCTTTCCCAGAGAGTTCTTTGCCAGTTTCTGGATATAGACCATACTCACCTGAATCTGTGTGTTCAGAATCTACAGAATATGAATGTTTCCTTGGGGACTTGTTCACTGTAGATCAGAGGCCAGAGTCACCAGATTCGATTAGCGAATGTAGACCATTGTCTCCAGATTTACCAGTACCACAGTACTCAACGCTGTTGTGTGAGTTAGTGGCAGTTATAGGACACAGATCATCCTCTCCTGAGTCCCTGGCATCAGATACAGATTATGACTTAAATGTTATTACAGATGCAGCTTTGTGTCATAGACCATTATCACCTGATTCAATGGCATCAGTAGATGAGAGTAGACCATTATCACCTGATTCACCTATTCC